GTCACAGCCCCCAGTCACCGCGAGACAAAGCTCCCCCGTGTAGCCTTGACGGACTGTTGGGGCAAGTGCTATTAGCGAGTAGCAGACTGGCAGCGCCGGTGCAGGCTGCCGGCACTGTGGCACACGAGGGGGTGGGTGGCCAGCACCACGCTCGGACGACTTTGTCTCCCCAGTGTCGACGTTTACACACCGCACCAGGTGCTCATTTGAGGCTGAGTCGACCTGGGGCAAGAGCCGGCAACCAAAATAACAAAAAGAGTCATTTTTGTTCAATTCGGTAAAACAAACTCGATGTGTCAAGATCCGCAACGCATTAAACTGCGAGACGGTGGCCGCTAATAAATGTCGCCATGCACGAAGCAGCCCTCGCCAGAGCCTCGAGCGGCTCCTGAGCCGCGGAGATGCCCAGACGCAGCTCAGAGCGCGTCACCGGTGATGGCCGTGAGCGGGAAGAGACCTCGGCTGGGCTGGGCTCACAGCGCCGCCCGCACTCATCGCTAGAGGGCGGTGGTGCTCACGCCGTGCCCCGCCCTCCTCCAGCCGGGGGGGGGGGCCTTCTGCTCCCCAGAGCCGCCCCCCACAACCTCCCAACTTCAGCGGCCGTTCATTCGCCAGCACTCTGCGCCCATGAAGAGTCACGGGGGGAGGCGGCACGGTGCGTAGACAACTTCCCTCCACAGTAATCCGACATTCCTCCTCCTCCTCGACACTGGCGGAACCATGAGCCGCATCGAACATCGTCAACAGATGCGCACATCCCCTTCACGAATTGACGGTTCATAGCGATTGGGGGCCGTCCATGAATGACGTCACGCGGTTTTGGACGATTTTTGATCCCCCCCCCCCCTCGTCACACGGCGTCACAAAAAGTCAGACCCCCCCCCCTCAAATATGACGTCACAAACCTCTGCCCCCCCCCCCCAAATAAAACATGCTTGAAATCGATTTAAACTATTGTTATTGTAGTGCCTATTTAATGTGGCGCTGCACTCTGATGTTGTAGGAAAAACATTTTATAAAAAGTATATTTAATTAAGTAGAACGTGTTGTCTATATTGATTTAAAGTTGTGCATTTTTATGTGACGTCACATTTCTCACCCCCCCCCCTCGTCACATTTCTCACCCCCCCCCCCTAGGTGCGTGACGTCATTTATGGACGGCCCCTTGTGACCATACAACCCGAACTGTGGACTGCGTGGAGAGTAAACCCATCGAGATGCATTCAAAACAAATCATCGTGCGATTGTGGCCACGCAACATAAACTCAGGGCTCATGCAGTGAAGTCACAGAGACGAATGGAGATGCACAGAGACGTCGAGACACCTTCAAGGCGTGGCCACAGTGGGGCGACTGGCCACTGTGGAGCGCACAGGGAATCCACTTTGGTCAACGGAGTTGGAGGAGGAAGAGCGACACGACACGAAGTCCCTCTGCTGAAGCCCTCTCCTCTCTCACGGCGTGGCAGCAGCAGTAGCATCAGCAGCAGCATCAGCAGCAGCAGCAGCCAGCAGCAGCAGCAGCAGCCAGCAGTATCAGCAGCAGTAGCAACAGCAGTAGCATCAGTAGTATCAGCAGCAGCAGCAACAGCCAGCAGCAGCAGCCAGCAGCATCATCAGCAGCAGCAACAACAGCCAGCAGCATCAGCAGCAGCAGCAACAACAGCATCAGCAGCAGCAGCAGCCAGCAGCGGCAGCAGTCGACATTGGCATCGAGCTCCCGAACACATTTCCATCACGCGCAATGAATGAATGACACTCCATGATTTCAGCTGTCCCATATCATACTACTGCACGTATGTTGAACTTCTGTCGCACCGTACGTAGTCAACTAATCGGAGGTGCGGGGGCAGCACAACATAAAACTAAACACAAAAAGCAGTGCTAAAGAAATTAGTTTCTAATCAAGATTATGTATAAGTGGATAGCTCCAGTGGCTTCCCCATATCGCAAAGGAAGAACGTTCCAGACGGCCGCTGAAGCGCATCGAAAAGCGCGCGATGCAGCGACCACCGCCTTTGATCGATAGCCAACCAAAATCACCCAGAATTCCCCTGGTCTTGGCGGATTCGTGGAAGCTAAGCAGGGTTCGAGCCTGGTTCAGTGTTCGGATGGCTGCACCACGACGCATAATAACAGGTGTTATAGGCTGCTGCTGTGCGCATACACCACGGTGGACAGCAGAGGGGAGTACAGCGACATCGACTGTTGTACTGTCCGCCTATGCTCCCACCACCGTCACCGAGTAGAACGTGAATATTGACTGTGTTGTTCAGAGCGCGGCTGACAAATGAATGTTCGTGAATTATTGACGCCACGGTTATTGAGAGCGAGCGGCTCGGTGTTGAGTTTATTGATGGGGCCACACGCCCCGGTCCTCCTGCGTTGTCTCAACGATGACGATGACAACGTCGCCTGGACGTTCATTATTCACGAGGACGCTCCACTTTCACGAGACGGTGCCCAACAGAGGTAGGCGGCACCTCCAGCAGCAGCAGCATGCCCACCGTGCCGTGTTCACTGCGACAGTTTCAGACTTGAGTTGAGTCGATTTTTTACGCGGATGAGCCCGTTTAGCCAGTAGCCTGGCGATTTTAACATCTAAGAGAAAACGGTCCAGGTTTATTACGGAATCTACAAACTCTTTATAATCTACAACTCTTTATAATCTACAAACTCTATCCAACTCGGCCATCACGGAACTAAACGCCCCAGCCCAGAACCGTGAACGCGTCTCTCTCTTGACAGGGCCACGATGGACCCCCTGAAGAACCACACACTCACACACGGACCCCTGAAGAACCACACACACACACGGACCCCTGAAGAACCACACACACACACGGACCCCTGAAGAACCACACACACACACTGACCCCTGAAGAACCACACACTCACACACGGACCCCCTGAAGAACCACACACACACACAGACCCCCTGAAGAACCACACACACACACGGACCCCCTGAAGAACCACACACTCACACACGGACCCCTGAAGAACCACACACACACACGGACCCCCTGAAGAACCACACACACACACGGACCCCCTGAAGAACCACACACTCACACACGGACCCCCTGAAGAACCACACACACACACGGACCCCTGAAGAACCACACACACACGGACCCCCTGAAGAACCACACACTCACACACGGACCCCTGAAGAACACACACACACACGGACCCCCTGAAGAACCACACACTCACACACGGACCCCTGAAGAACCACACACACACACACACGGACTCGCTGAAGAACCACACACTCACACGGACCCCTGAAGAACCACACACACACACGGACCCCTGAAGAACCACACACACACACACGGACCCCCTGAAGAACCACACACTCACACACGGACCCCCTGAAGAACCACACACACACACGGACCCCTGAAGAACCACACACACACACACGGACCCCCTGAAGAACCACACACTCACACACGGACCCCCTGAAGAACCACACACTCACACGGACACCCTGAAGAACCACACACACACACGGACCCCCTGAAAAACCACACACACGGACCCCCTGAAGAACCACACACTCACACACGGACCCCCTGAAGAACCACACACACACACGGACTCCCTGAAGAACCACACACTCACACGGACCCCCTGAAGAACCACACACACACACGGACCCCCTGAAGAACCACACACACACACGGACCCCAATCCAAGGCGTGAAACTCAGGATCTCGGCAGTAATGTCTCAGTATAATAAAGGTTTTTTGGGTTACATTTTGGGTGAGATTAATGTGGTTAAACTCGCCACCACCGACACAGCCAATGAGTAAGGGCTGCCAGGTAAATAAAACGCGCCAATTAGTCGGGCGGTGGCGGGTTTAAGAACGCATTATATATTACACGATCTCACCCCCCCCCCCCCCATCTCTATTCTGGAGTCAGTAGTCAGGGCAGAGCAGCGCCGCTGCCAATCCACTGCTGGGCGAGGCCCCATCCCCACCTCGTAGTTTGCTGAATTTAGAAGAAAACGTTTTATTATTTTAAAAAAAAAACCCTCCACTGTGGACGTGTTTGTCTCCAGGATGAACGCCACTGAGGCGTGCGTCGAGGGCGAGCACGTGGCGGCCGGGGGGGCACGTGACGGCCGGGGGGGCACGTGACGGCCGGGGGGGCACGTGACGGCCGGGGGGGCACGTGACGGCGAGGGGGCACGTGACGGCTGGGGGGGGCACGTGGCGGCTGGGGGGGGGCACGTGACGGCGAGGGGGGCGCGAGGCTGAGTGGGAGGCGATGCAAATCTCAGAACGGGAGGGACCGGTCGGTCCTGCACACGTGGAGCCGCACGCGAAGCCGAGGTTCACCCGAGGTTCACCCGAGATTCACCCAATGTTCACCCAATGTTCACCCAATGTTCACCCAATGTTCACCCAATGTTCACCCGAAGTTAATCCCAAGTTCACCCGAGGCTCGCCCGGCGCACGCCTGCAGAAGCGAGTGGAGACGCGGCAGGCGGCGAGTCCGCGCGCCGCTGGAGCGCCACAGCTGAGTTGGGGACGGGGGGAGGGGGCGGTGGGGACGGGGGGAGGGGCGGTGGGAACAGGGTGGGGGGGGACACGAGGAGGAGGCGGGAGGTAGTTGATGTGGGCTCCCACTTGTTCCGTCTGTACGGGGTAGCGCGTTGCTCCCTCGCACGCGTGCGGTTTCGCCCACGCGTATAGACGCGTGCTAATTACAATCATAAATACATAGAATTGGCTGGACATGTTAATGCTGTATGTAGAGGATCGCAGAGCTTTGGCAAGTGGAGGCGCCGTCGTATCGCCTGGCTGCTGCATTCCAGCTGCTCTGTGGTTGCTCGGCGATTGAGACGGAATTTGCATGAACGACGATGTCGTTTCCAAAAATATATAAATAAGTACCTACGATGGAACACAAACACCCAGCTTGAATTACACATGCATGCAGTAACATCGTGGCACACACACAATGGCACCCACTGAATTAGAAAAGCATAAAGCGACATTGCGAGAGGAGCAATGCACGCGTTAGAGAACACGCGCAGCTCACAGACATCATTCTGAGCGCCTGTGAAGGCCGCCATTGAGGTACACGAGGGGGTGGGTGGCCAGAACCACGCCCGGCCGCCTTTGTCTCCCCAGTAGCGATGTTTACACACCACACCAGGCACTCATTTGAGGCTGAGTAGACCTAGGGGAGGCCCAGGAGCGGTTCAGATAATCGCCACTTTAATTGACCGTGAGCCGTGATCGAACTCGGGCCGCCGGGTGCGTAGCGCAGCTCGCTAACCGCTGCGCCACCGCTCCACACACACACACACACCGACCCTCACACACAGACACGCGCACACACCGCTCCACACACACACACACCGACCCTCACACACAGACACGCGCACACACCGCTCCACACACACACACCGACCCTCACACACAGACACGCGCAAACACCGCTCCACACACACACCGCTCCACACACACACCGACCCTCACACACACACACACCGCTCCAAACACACACCGCTCTACACACACACACCGCTCCACACACACACCGCTCCACACACACACACACCGACCCTCACGCACAGACACGCGCACACACCGCTCCACACACACACACACCGACCCTCACACACAGACACGCGCACATACCGCTCCACACACACCGACCCTCACACACAGACACGCGCACACACCGCTCCACACACACACACCGACCCTCACACACAGACACACACACCGACCATGCCCTTCGTGACGAGCTGTGCGTGGGCCGCCTGAATACGTGAAGAGTGTCACAGTCAGTTTCCTCCTCCTGCTCACTCGACTCCTCACACATTCTCTGCGCGAGATCATCAATTGCTCTCCCCGAGGCACGCATCTTACGTCCGTCAATCTCACATCTTCTCTCACTGACCCTCACATCTCATCTCCCTGTGTCTCACAACTTCTCTCACTGACTCACAACTTCTCTCACTGACTCACAACTTCTCTCCCCGTGTCTCACATCTTCTCTCCCTGAGACTTGCATCTTCTCTCCCTGAGTCTCGCATCTTCTCAGCTCCGAGTCTCAAGTCGGCTAGAGGCGGCGTGGCGGCAGGAGATGAGGTCGCGACTCGCCTCGTGCCTCCTCCTCCTCCTCGGCGTCTTCACGACGCTCTCCTGGCGAGGTGAGACAGAACCTCGCTGCCCTTCACGAGTCCGCTCGCACGAGATCGTCTCCCTTTCAGTTCGTTTTGCGTTGCCCTGTGAGCCGATAAGCCCTTGGACTCGGTGTGTCATCAACACAAACAACAACGCCGGCGCTTCTCCTACAAACGCAACAAGTCACAGTAAAATAGATAAATTATAATAAACAATAACAGATAAGAGACATAAACAAATATTTAGCAAATGGTAATCGCAATATGTCATACTTGCCCCTACAGTCTGTTAAGGCTATACGGGGGATCTTTGTCTTTATCTTTGTCTATCATACGGTGGGGAGTGTTAGTACAGCGATTGTGCTACGAGCCCGATGACCCGAGTTCGATTCCCACTCACGGCCAACACCAGTGACGAATATCTGAACCGCTCCTGGGTACCTGGCGAGATGTGTGAACATCGCCACTCGGGAGACAAAGGCGGCCGGGCGTGGTGCTGATCACCCACTCCCATGTATGCTGTTCTGGCCTTTATAATTGCTCGCTAACAACGCTTGACCCAAGTCTGTTAAGGCTATAAGGGGGATATGTGCCTATCAGCTGATGATGCAGGATGTAATCCCCAGTGAGATTGTCCTCACGTTTTGTCTCAAAAGCCAAAATCATTTGGGGCAAAATTTGTGCACGCGATGCGGCAACTCAATGTGATGGGCTCTGGAGGGCTCCGGCTAAACAAATAGGACATTTACAGCGGCACGACAACCCCGGCCCCCGGTCGCAGGCTGGTCGTGAGTCGTCACGATTCCTCGGGCGCCGGGCTCGCCAACCTGCGGCTCGGAGCCGCGTGCGACTCCCTAGGGACTGCAGTGGCGGAGCTTGAGAGTCGAAATAAATGTCTCTTCTTGTTATTTTTGTTGACAACCCCTGGCCATGGGAGTCCAGTTCACCATGGGAGTCCAGTTTACCATGGAAGTCTAGTTCACCATGGGAGTCCAGTTCACCATCGGAGTCCAGTTCACCATGGAAGTCTAGTTCACCGTGAGAGTCCAGTTTACCATGGGAGTCCAGTTCACATGGGAGTACAGTTCGCAATGGAAGTCCAGTTCACCATGGGAGTCCAGTTCACCATGGGAGTCCAGTTCACCATGGGTAGGGGTCGGCAATCTGCGGCTCCATATCCGCATGCGGCTCATGAAGGACTGCTCCGTGACATTATTTATTGAGGATCACCGCCGTCTCATATTCACCACAGAGCATCGCGGCTCCTGAAATATCGCTCTCTTGTCTCCTGCCCCCCTCCCCTCCCCCTGCTCTCGCAGCTGCCGCGGATATCAGCAGAGCGACGCGACTGGAATGGGTCCGACAGGGCGCGGGCAGCGACGCGCTGCTGCGGGCGGGCACCAGGGACGAGGATCTGGCCGGCGTGACGCAGTTCGAGTGGCAGAGTCTGTCAGCGCCAGACGCGTACACGATCGTCGCGAGCTGGGAGCCCCAAAGGCCGGACGATGCCGTGGTGAGGACTGCACTTTTAATCGCCCTGGTGGATGGCAAATGGCAAACCATTCAGCAACATCGTCAATACGATAATAGAAAATTACTCAATTGTCCAGGAAAGCCATTGTGAGCGCAATTGTTCTTTGTCAGGAAGGTTTCGCATTGATACCAGTTTGAACCGGTTTGATATCTTTTCTGCAGTTATTTTTGGTCTGGTGATCTGGACAAGCTTGAGTGCTTTCGTGCAGGCAATGCCTGCAGGCTTCCGTGTGTGTGTGTGTATATCATTGCGGTAGTGCAACGCTTAGCACGCTGAGCTACGAATTCGGCAACCCAAATTCGATTCCCACTCACGGCCAACACCGATGACGATTATCTTAACCAGTGTCAATGTTTACACATTGACACTGGACAAAGGCGGTCAGGTGTGGTGCTGGCCACCCACCCCCTCGTGTGCCGTGCCAGCCTCCATATGTGCTCGCTAAAAGCACTTGCCCCAACAATCTATTAAGGTTATAGTGGGGATCTTTGTCTTTAACAGCATCACTAACCAACCTGCTCTAATACTTCTGTTGCAATGGCCTTTTATCATCGTACATCTCTCCGAGCTATCCCCCCGTGCGACGCATTAATCAGATTCCTCCAGTACAAATAAACACATTCCTGCTGCGGAGGAAGCTGGTAGGAACGTTGGGTTGCTCGGTCAATGGCCAGGGTCAACGGCGGCGTGGTGTATTCCGCAAATATGGCCGACTGTGAGGGCGGGCACAAGCCGGCGTGAGTAGGTTAAACTTTGAGTTTTATAAGGGCACCACGGGGTGACCAGCCTCTCCCCACCCAGCCCCACCCCTTCCACCCCCAACCCTCCCCACCCAGCCCCTCCCCACCTCACCCTCCCCACCCAGCCCATCCCCACCCAGCCCTCTCCACCCAGCCCCACCCCTCCCATTTTTGGATGCACGACAGAGGGACGGACACAATAATCCCCTGTAGGCTGGTGGAACCAGGTGGTTCCTACCACTAATATTCTGACTCAGCTAATTGTTTCTCTGCTCACGCTGCAGCTGTCCCAGATGTTTGGAGGCCGCGCAAAACCCTTCGCGAATGGATCGCTGCAAATCAGGGCCCTGCAGCAGAGCGACAGTGGGGCCTTCAACGTGGCTGTGAAGAGGGGAGTGAAAGTAACCAACACCAACATCAACTTGACCGTCTACGGTGAGTCCAATGTCACCTTCGTATACTTTTGGTGCCGAATCATTCTTCACCAACATCTTCAGCAGCAGCAGCCCGTGATAGTTGGTGGTGGCGGTGGTGTCGGTGGTGGTGGTGGTGGCGGTGGTAGTGGCGGTGGTGGCGGCGGTGGTGGCGGTGGTGGCGGTGGTGGCGGTGGTGGTGGCGGTGGTGGTGGTGGCGGTAGTGGTGGTGGTGGTGGGGGTGATGGTGGTGGTGGCGGTAGTGGTGGTGGTGGTGGGGGTGATGGTGGTGGCGATGGTGGCTGTAGCGCGCGTGGCTGCTGCACCCCAACAGGCTGTGGAGGCAGCAGCAGCAGCGAGGGTTGGGCGTCGATGAGGAGCAGTACCCCACGTGGACTCCACCTGTTCCGTCTATACAGGATAGAGTGTTGCCCCCTCGCACGCATGGGTTTAGTCCGGGTGCTCCGGGTTCTTCTCACTTGTATAAAACACTCGTTGACTGAAAACATAGTGAAGATATATTATTTGGTGATGCTGCGACAGTGGTACACTCGCACAAATAACAAAAAAAGACCATTGCCTAAACCATCGTCTATTTTTTCAAGGCCACACACTTCAGAATCAGAATATTTATTTCTACCAGAAGAATCTGATGAGCTATAAATATTTTTCCCACATTTTTTCAGTCCGGGCGGGTACACACACGCGTGCGTTGTTGTCAATGACACGGAACCGTGCCGAGTGGTTTTTGTTCACTTCGTTTGTGCACCACTGCCAATGCAGCAGTAGCAGCACTGAAAATACCGTCGTGATGTGCGATCTACTCGTCCTGCCGCTCCCTCTCGCAAGGCCCTCTCGCGGCGTCGGTGAACGTCAGCAAACCGGGGCCTCTCAAAGCCAACAGCGACAACGTGAGCCTCGCTTGCGAGGCCAATTCCACGGACGGCGTTACATTCGCGTGGCAGAGGAACGGAGTGGAGCTGACCCGGCGGGACCCGCTGGGCTACTCGCTGTCGGAGGACGGCCGCCTCTTCACCGTCACCCCGGTGCTGCCAGGAGACGACCACTCGCTCACTTGCAGCGCCTCCAACCCGTTCTTCAGCGGGCGGAGCCCAGCCGCGGACATTGACGTGCACGGTACGGAGGCTGCGTAGGAGCCTCGCCGTTTGCCATTATTGTTTGCAAATTCTCATGCTGCGTTTGGAACATGCGCACAAATCTGATGTTCTCTATTGCTGCTCTCAGAGGGATTCTGGAAGCTGCCCCAAACCCTGCCCCTACTGAACCAGCCCCTACTCCTAGTGAGCCAGCCCCTACCCCTACTTACCCAGCCCTCAATTTCACACCCCTACCACTAGTCACACTGGTCCCATCCGTGTCCAGGGGGAAGAGCCTATACAGAAAGAGGTGGGGCCTAACATATAAAAATGGGCGGGTCCTCAAAAGGAAAGGTGCAGAGCCAAAAGAGGAAGAGGCGGGGCCTCATCAGGAAGTGGCATAAAGAAGATTGCGGTGGGGCCTGTAGAGGTTGAACTTCACTGTTGATTCAGCTGATACGAGCATCACATCAAATAGGTGCGGCAGCAGCAGGCAGCAGCAGGCAGCAGCAGGCAGCAGCAGGCAGCAGCAGGCAGCAGCAGGCAGCAGCAGGCAGCAGCAGCAGCCTGACTTTTGTGCCGCACAAGCTGCCAGGGGCCAACTTGTTGAACTTCAAAGGACGTTTCGAAGCGCACGAGAATAAAATACAAAGAGGATTAACGTCTTCAGAAACGTCACCTGTTATATTCGTTGCGTTTAAGACCACACAGTGTTGTTGACAAACGTGTTGTTTATTTTTTGTTCATTGTTCTTGTGCACCACTGCCAACGCAGCTGTCCGTATGTATGTTGCACTTCTCTGGCACCGTATGTAGCCAACCGTGCGGATGCGTTCAGTCGCCATACACAATAGAGCCACGTCGTGTTGTAAGGCGCTGGCATCGTCACTTGGTGGGACACCACGGGGTCATTCATTTGAACTTGTCCTGCCCCCCCCCTTCCCCCGCACGGAGGCCCCCTCGAGGTGTCGGTGGACGTCAGCTGGCCGGGGCCCCTCAAGGCGGACAGCGACAACGTGACCCTCGCGTGCGTCGCTAACGCCACGAGGGGAGTGGCGGTGGCGTGGCTGAGGAGCGGCAAGGTGCTCGACTCCTCGGACTCGTCGCGCGCGTCGCTCTCGCGGGACCAGACGAGGCTCACCCTGGCGCCGGTCACCACCGGTGACAATGGCACCATCACGTGCCACGTGTACAACGCATTCTACGGCGCGTCCAGTCAAGCGGCGCTGCTTGACGTGCACGGTGAGAAGCCCCCTTCCAGTCGCCAAACCACTGCACGTCCCATTCTACTCTTGTGTGTACGTGTATGCGTTGAACTTCTTTTCCACCATACTAGCCATGTTGTATGTATGTTGTATGTGTGTATGTACGTTGGAACTTGTTTCGCATCGTACGGAGCCAACGGTGCTAATCGGAGGTGTGGGGGGAAGGACAACACGAAACACGAGAAGCAGTTTAAATTAAATTATGTTTTCGATCTCGATTTAAAAGTGGCATAGCTGCAGTCACCATGACCGGCATGGCCTGGGCCATCTAAGGTGAGTCCAATGCCAATGTCACCTTCGTAGAATTTCGGTGCCCAAATCATTCGTCACCAGAATCATCTTCAGCAGCAGCAGCAGCAGCAGCCCGTGATAGCCGGGTGGCGGTGGCGGCTTTAGCGCGCGTGGCTGCTGTACCCCACAAGTGCTGTGGACGCAGCAGCAGCAGCAGTGAGGGTTAGTGGAGCACGGCACAGATGCTGTGAAACTCCCTTCGCGTGGGCGTTGAGGAGGTGGCGTCACCTGGCTCGCCAGAGGGCAGCACAGAAACGTGTGGACTCGTCTCCATTTGTCCCAACTCCCTTCGCACGGGCGTCGATGAGGAGCAGTACCCCACGGTACACCAAAGACGTGGACTCCACCTGTTGCTGCTATATGGGATAGCGTGTTGCCCCCTCGCACTCGTGGGTTTTGTCCGGGTGTTCCGGGTTCCTCCCACTTGTAAAAACACTCGTCAATTGGTGATGCTGCATCAACAGCGGTACACAAACACAAATAACAACAAGTAAACCCGTAAAAACAAAGTTTTTCACTATAAATCCTTTATATGCGTGGCGGCGAACTTAATATAAAGGATTTAAAAATATATTCGCCTGTGGAGGACGCGGGGATCGATCCCGCGACCTTTGGCATGGGAAGCGAGGGCGCTACCAACTGCGCTACTCCGCCACGGCCTGTGGAGGGGTTACGCTCTGGGCTCTTACACTCTGACGTTCAGCCAAAGCCATGAATGCGTTCTATTTGAATATATGTAAAATAATTTGTTTTTGCCTAAAAAGTGTAAAATTTAGGGAATTTTTTTTCACGAACAATAATTGTCTGGCACAACGAGTCTGTGTGGAAAATGTCAGCTCGATTGGATCACGGGAAGTGGGTTAAAAACCGACCGAAAGATTTGCACGGTCCTAAGCAAGCAAGCACGCAAACTTAATATAAAGGATTTAAAAAAGGACCATTGCCCAAACCATCGTCTATTATATATTTTCCTTTCAAGGCCACACACATCAGAATTCAAATCTTTATTTCTACCAGAGGATTCCGATGAGCCATACAACTCTTGTCCACAAACTTCGAGTCAGGGCGGGTACACACACGCGTGCGGTGTTGTGATTGACACGGAACCGTGCCGAGTGAGTTTGTTCACTTCGCTCGAGCACCACTGCCATTGCAGCAGCAGCAACACCACAAATAACATCGCGGTTTGCAATCTACTCGTCCTGCTGCTCCCTCTCGCAAGGCCCTCTCGCGGCGTCGGTGAACGTCAGCAAACCGGCGCCTCTCAAAGCCAACAGCGACAACGTGAGCCTTGCTTGCGAGGCCAATTCCACGGATGGCGTTACATTCGCGTGGCAGAGGAATGGAGTGGAGCTGACCCGGAGGGACCCGCTGGGCTACTCGCTGTCGGAGGACAGCCGCCTCCTCACCGTCGCCCCGGTGCTGCCAGGAGACGACCACTCGCTCACCTGCAGCGCCTCCAACCCGTTCTTCAGTGCGCAGAGCCCAGCCGCGGACATTGACGTGCACGGTACGGAGGCTGCGTGGGAGCCTCGCCGTTCGCCATTATCGTTCGCGAATTCTCACGTTGTTGTTTGTATCGCGCGCACAAATCTGTTGTTGTTTATTGCTGCTCTCAGAGGGGTTCTGGAAGCTTCTCCAAACCCTACCCCGACTGACCCAGCCCCTCCCCCTGACCAGGCCCTGGCATACTGGCCCCCACCACCCCCGCCTTTCACACCCCCACCACGCCCCACGCCGGCCCCACCCACTATCCGGGGGAAGGGGCTCTACAGAAAGAGGCAGGGCCTAAAATATGGGCGGTGTCTAAAATATGGGCGGGGCCTAAAATATGGGCGGGGCCTAAAAAGGAAAGGAGCCGAAAGAGGAAGAGGCAGGGCCTCATCAGGAAGGGGGTGTGGCATAAAGAAGATTGTGGTGGGGCCTACACAGGTTGAACTTCCCAGTGTATTTAGCCGATAATAGCACAACATCAAATAGGTGCAGCAGCAGCAGGCAACAGCCTGGCTTTAGTGCCGCAGAAGCTACTAGGGGCCAACTCTTTGAACTTAAAAAGGGTGTTCCGAAGTGCAGGAGAATAAAATATGAAGCTGTAAAAATAATTCAGAAACGTCACTTGTTATATTATCTTCCCTTTTAAGACTAGTCTTGTTGACAAATGTGTTTTGCAAAACTGCCAATGCAACTGTCCGTATGTACGCTGAATTTCTCTGGCACCGTACGTAGCCAACCGTACTAATCGGTGGTGCGGCAGTACCGGCGGCATGGCCAGATAATTTGTATGTGTTCTGTCGCTATATAGTAAAGCCACGTCGCGTTGTAAGGCGCTGGCATCACTTGAAGGGGCACCACGGGGTCATCCCTTTGAACTTGTCCTGCCCCCCCCACCATTTCCCCTGCACGGAGGCCCCCTCGAGGTGTCGGTGGACGTCAGTTGGCCGGGGCCGCTCAAGGCAGACAGCGACAACGTGACCCTCGCGTGCGTCGCCAACGCCACGAGGGGAGTGGCGGTGGCGTGGCTGAGGAGCGGCAAGGTGCTCGACTCCTCGGACTCGTCGCGCGCGTCGCTCTCGCGGGACCAGGCGAGGCTCACCCTGGCGCCGGTCACCGCGGGTGACAACGGCACCATCGCGTGCCACGCGTCCAACGCATTCTACAGCGCGTCCAGTCAAGCGGCGCTGCTTGACGTGCACGGTGAGGAACCCCCTTCCAGTCGCCACACCACTGCACGTCCCATTCTACTCTTGTGTGTACGTTGAACTTCTTTCACACCGTACGTAGTCATGTTGTATGTACGTGTGTATGATGCACTTTTTTCGCATCATACTTAGCCAAACTTGCTACTCGCAGGTGCGGGAAGGACAGCACTAAACACGAAAAGCAGTTTAAATAAATTAGTTTTTCAATTTCAAAAAGGCATCGCTCTACTAATCATTACCAGCATCACCTTGACCGTCTACGGTGAGTCCAACGCCAATGTCACCTTCGTAAACTCTTGGTGCCAAATCATTCATCACAAACATCATCAGCAGCAGCCCATGATAGCCGGGTGGTGGTGCCGAGATGTTAAGTACCTCGCCTGGTATACAGGAGGTTGTGGGTTCGATACTGACCCACATGCCTGCTGTATATTTAGAGTTTGCAAGTTCTCCCCATGGCTGCGTGCATTTCTCTCTGAGTCCTCCGGTTTTCCCCTCTACATTTAGAAACATGTGCTTAGAGTATTTGGCACCTATACATTTCCCATGATAAACCACTTTATTCGGCTGTCATTTGTGGCCAGGTCACTTCTGAAAAACAGCTATATAGAGCTAGTAGGCCTTACCTCGTAAAATAAAATAGTAGTTAAAACGTTGCAATAGTTTTCATGGTAAAATAATTGTGTAAAAATAATTTTTCAATGCACACACTGTTATTTGCACTCAAAAGTAGAAAGTACATTATTTTGATGCCAGAATTAGTCAAATTTGATGTGCTGAATAAAAGTGGGTGGTTTTCTTTCGATATGTTGAATTTGCTTCATGCAAGCTACCCACTTTCATTCAGCACGTAACAATTTATTTATTTTGGGGTCAAAATAATGTATTTTCTACTTTTAGTTTTTTACTAAAAAAAAGTATTCCTTGTGCTTGTGCACCACTCGCAATGCAGCTGTACGCATGTAAGTTGCTATCTCGGCCTCGCTGTGCGCTGCGTTGCACCGCTAGTCGAGTAGATAACCTTGCTTTCAATAAACCCTCGGAGCCAGGATGAACGTCCAACTGCAATCGTCATTTATTGATTGTAACAAGGTAAAACTGGTGAGAAAACACAGATACAGCATCTGTTATAATCCGGAAACACCAACACAATGAACACCACAGCATCAGAACATTGTCTTAGATAACAATAGATCCTGGACGGACCAGGCCCCTACATTACCACTGAACAGCTAGACAAGAGCACAAGCCGGTGCGTTGCATACAGGCACATCGTGTATTCATCCCACTGCACCCAAATGTACACCATTACACATAACACTAAACTGTGGATGAGATTCTTGGTCATCTTTACTCTCAGGATCGCAACATAGGCACAAGTCTGACTCGACCTACTAAATCACAAGTAACATCCACAATAAGGAAAGTCGCAGGCTTCGTTACTAACTAGGCCTCGTATTTACTACAACAACTTAACGGCACCATAAAGGCATTTACATCACTATAACGGTCATTCCAACATTACAACAGCATTGCCAATATTATAGGAATATAAACCACTTACAGACAATGCTTCTTAAGCTCCCACAATGGACAAGTGCGGCTGTGGTCTAACTGAGATGCGATGCGTGCCGCCATCTTGAATTATCAGTAAGATGGCAGAAGCCCGCGTGGTTCACTGAAAATCCAACATCGTCACTTCCTGGTCACGTGACCAAAATTAGCATAAAAAAACAGGAATTTCCTGTGAACGTACACTCCACATCTGCCGTGAGGCAAGACAGTTGCACTTCTCTCACACCGTACGTAGCCAACCGTGCTAATTGGAGTCGTGGGAGTACCGGCAGCGTCGTCAGATAATTTGGATGCGTTTGGTTGCTATATACATAAGAAAGCCACGTCCTGCCCCCCCCCTCCCCCTTTCCCCTGCACGGAGGCCCCCTCGAGGTGTCGGTGGACGTCAGCTGGCCGGGGCCCCTCAAGGCGGACAGCGACAACGTGACCCTCGCGTGCGTCGCCAACGCCACGAGGGGAGTGGCGGTGGCGTGGCTGAGGAGCGGCAAGGTGCTGGACTCCTCGGACTCGTCGCGCGCGTCGCTCTCGCGGAACCAGGCGAGGCTCAGCCTGGCGCCGGTCACCACGGGTGACAATGGCACCATCGCGTGCCACGTGTCCAACGCATTCTACAACGCGTCCAGTCAAGCCGCGCTGCTTGACGTGCACGGTGAGGAGGAGGAGGAGGCCCTTTCTAGCCGGCAAATCACTGTCCGTCCAGTTCTACTCTTGTATGTCGAACTTCTTTCACACCGAACGTAGCCATGTTGTATGAACTTCTTTCGCACCGTATGTAACTCTGCTGTATATATGAACGTATATACGTTAAACTCTCACACCATACGTAGCCAAACATACTAATCGGATATGCGGGAGTCAGCAGCGTTGCCGGATTATTCAGACACGTTCAGTTGTTATATCATAGAGCTAGAGGCCGACCGAAACTAAATTTCTGGTTTCGACCGAAACTGAAAGAGCCTAGTCTCACATGGTGTTGGACCAGATGACGCCAAAAGGCTCTAAGAAAAGCTGTCTCGGGTGTGGACCAATCAATTTCAAGGACAGTGCATACATTATCAGAGTTGTATTATTTGTTTGCATTCCGACCGCAGGTATTGTGGTCAATGCAGATGTAGTGGCGGTACGCGCTGACAAGGGGGGAGCGTGTGTGAGCGCGTCGGGTGTGGCTACATCGCGTGGTATAGTGGTGACGCGCGCTGACAGTGATGGATCATGTGGCGGCGCGTGGTGAGTGGTTGTGTGCGCTGACACAAGATGGGAAAAAGGATCGTGTGGCAGCGCGTGGTGATTGGTCAACTGGGGTGGGTGCTCTCATCGAGGTCCGCATGGGCTCCGTCTCCCCGGGAGCAGAGGACTATAAAGGGGGATGCGCGGGAGCGCTCGGGGAGTTGTTAACCAGTGAAGATCGAAGACAGAGTGGGAAGAGATAGGGCCCTGAGACCCCTAGTTCCGCTGTCCTTGTAAGGGCCGGGACCCTGTGCGGCTCAGAGGCGAGACCGTGGGACCCGCGGCCTGACGTCCTTGTAAGGGCGAGGCTGTGGGACCCAGTGGTCGAGACCCAGACCCCAGTTGGGGTGGGTTCCCTAGAAGCTACGGGGCGGAAGAGCCCGTGTGTGTGTAGCCGGGGGGAACCGCGTAGCATAGGCTGCAGTTGGTCACACGTGTTAGTGAGTTGGTGTTAATAAAAGTGTGCTACCCGTCAAGTCGTCTCCCACCCAAATTCCTACATTACACAAACATGACTCCTCGTAAAAAAAGGTGTCAGTTTGTTGCCAGCTAAAAGGGTAAAAAAATCAATTATCATATTTTGCTACTGGCAAAGGAGGTTGCAATGGTGATTGTTAACTTTTTGACTTCAGCCGAAACAGAAACGATGCCGAAAGAGGCCATTTGCCAACTTTCGGCGCCGAAACCGAAACCGAATTTCTGTCGGCCTGTAATTGTCAGACTTTTTGAATCTCGGCATCAACACTCGTGTAGACTGAAGCGAACGCAACACATAAGCCAAGGCGGGCAGGCGGCTGGGAACAGACAACAGAGGCACTTTGTTGTCGTCCCGCCAAAGAGACTCCACCCACGGATGGAGATGCAGGCTGCTGTCTGTTGACCGGTCGTATCTACATTAGCAGTCCATGGTTGTGGCTGTAACCTCACTCCCAAGCTGCTGCTGCTGCTGCTGCTGACGTTTGTTTGCAGCCAATTGCATAGAATTGCCTAGCGCCGACTGACCGGCCGATAGGCAGAGTGATAGACGTAGCACTAGCGTTATATTCTAAAAATAGATCTTCGGTTGACGAATGACGACCAAAAGTCAATATCAGTTTCAGCCGAAACCAGACCGGAAGTTACATATTGACTTTCGGCTGAAACCGAAAGTTTGCCCAAGAGGCCATTTGCCAACTTTCGGTGCCGAAACCGAAACCGAATTTCGGCCGGCCTCTAAATAGAGCCGCGTCATGTTGTAAGGCGCTGGTATCGTCACTTGGCGGGGCACCACAGGGTCATTCTCTTTAACTTGTCCTGCCCCTCCTCCCCCCTTCCCATGCACGGAGGCCCCCTCGAGGTGTCGGTGGACGTCAGCTGGCCGGGGCCGCTCAAGGCGGACAGTGACAACGTGACCCTCGCGTGCGTCGCCAACGCCACGAGGGGAGTGGCGGTGGCGTGGCTGAGGAGCGGCAAGGTGCTCGACTCCTCGGACTCGTCGCGCGCGTCACTCTCGCGGGACCAGACGAGGCTCAGCCTGGCGCCGGTCACCACGGGTGACAACGGCACCATCACGTGCCACGCGTCCAACGCATTCTACAACGCATCCAGTCAAGCGGCGCTGCTTGACGTGCACGGTGAGGAGGAGCAGCCCCCTTCCAGTAGCCACACCACTGCACGTCCCGTTCTACTCTTGTGTACGTTGAACTTCTTTCACACCGTACGTAGTCATGTTGTATGTACGTGTGTGTGTTGAATGTCTTTCGCATAATACTTACCCAACCGTGCTAATCGGAGGTACAGAGGGAAGGACAACACTTAAAGCAGTTTTAAAGAAATTTCGTTTTTCAATCTCGATTTAAAAGTGGCATAGCTGCAGTGTTCTTCTGAATGTCAGAAGGAAGACCGTTCAAAATGGCTGCAGCACATCCTAAAGCGCCGCACGATGCGGTGACCATCTTTGTTCAACGGTTATCCAAAAGCTGCTGTACGTGATGGCAGTGACAACAATGAATTCGAAAACTCGATGCCAGTGTCGAGATCATCTTCTAGCTGCGACAAGATGGCTTCAGCGGAGAGAGCGCTCGTGTTGTTTGATATTCCTCCGTTGAAGGAGTGCAGACTCCGGTGGGTTTACTGTACGGTCCATAGTGTGGGTTACCATGGCCGCAGTTGTACGAGTGATGTCCTCTGCTGTGTATGGACCAGAGGTTGCTGGAAGCAAAAGGGATCTCGGAGGTAGTTCTGTGACATCCATTCCTGGAGGCCGCGTCCTGAGTGGCCCGGAATGTCACTTGAAGAAGGGCTCTTAGAGCTAGCTCTGCTTTATCTGCTTCCGTTTTCTCACAACACACAGAGAGAGGCCTGCGTTTCTCTGTCTAACCGGCTCGCCCCACGCCGCTCTTCCCATGATCGGAAGCAGGGGAGAGGTCAGCTAATAAAGACGAATTGATGAGTCTAGAGGCGATGAGTGAATACTCTGCATTGTGCTTTGCCCTCCTATTGAGGATCGAGTGACTCCACCACCGAGGGACACCAGAGAGATGTGGAATGGCAACTCTTTATTTTAAAGTCTTCTGAGGATTCGTGTATCGAATTATGACCAGATGCACACCAATCGACCCCACGTTACACAGCACCTCGTTGCTCAATCGCTGTGTTGATGGGATTGAGTGCAAGTGTTAATATTCTGCACCCACGCCCGAGTTACTTTATTAAATGATTAAACTCGTCTTTAATGATCAAAATCTGAACTGTGAATATATTTACTATCATTAAACAATCAGCAGCTAATTAACATTACTTAATCCCCACACGTTGATTTATATTAGAATAATAACAGCAGTAGTTATTAAGCAGTAAACGCTATATTTTAACGGAGCTGTCGATCTGTGTGACCTGTACAGTGTCCACCCTCATCTGAATGCGCGATCTAACTCAAAAACCTCCATTATGGTGGGCGTGGCCTACTGTGCAGTCACGTGAGTCTCTGGGTCCAATCCATGGGCATCGTTATCTCCATTCACAATTCTGTGTGATTCATTACATTGAGCCCATCGTGCCGGATACATTCGAAGATTTTCCGAATGGATTCTTCACCTCGTGGCAACGCGATGCCGATGGCGCATTCCGGCCACTCAACAGGCGCCGCTCGCCGCTGGCCGCAGCTGCCCCAAAAGGTGCGTGAAGGCAACGACGTCTTTGTCGTGTCGCCTGATGGCCAGTGACTGTTGTTAGTACTCGGCTTGTTTACCATGCTCGCTTTAAAGCTACCGCGGGGATCTCTATCTTTGCGTTTGTGTGCGTGCGTGCGTGTGTGCGCGTGTGTCAACACCAATGACAATTATCTGAACCGCTCCTGGGCCTCCCCTAGGTCAACTCAGCCTCAAATGAGTACCACGGTGCGGTGTGTAAACATCCTCACTGGGAAGACAAAGGCGGCCGGGCGTGGTGTTGGCCACCCCACCTGCCCGTGGGCCGTGCGGGCCTTCGTAAGTGCTCGCTAACAGCACCCCCCCAACAGTCTGTTCCAGGCTATACGGGAGATCTTTGTGTTTTTGTGCGACACAGAGGCGGTCTCCAAGCCCACGTTCACGCTGACCCCGGCCACAGCAGTGGAAGGGAAGGACACCGTCGGGGGCCGGTGCAGTTGCAAGAGCGCCGGCAGCGCCGGCAGCAGCAGCGGCTGTGGCGGCGGTGGCGCCGGCTCGGCGCCGCGGGTCTCCTGGCTCCGCGGCGGCCGCGAGTTCAGTCCCGGCGAGCGCCGCGGCAGCGAGATGAAGATGGGGCCGGTGCGCCGGGAGGACCGGGGCAGCTACGGCTGCCGCGTCAGCAACGCCGTGAGCGTGGAGAGCAGCGACCCACAGGCGCTCGTCGTCATCTGTGAGCGCCGGCGTGGCGGCTGCAACCACAAAGAGACCCATAGCGACTCGTGGAGACCCAAATAAACTCATAGAGACCTACAGAGACCCATAGAGACCCATAGAGACTCACAGAGACCCATAGACTCACAGAGACCCATAGAGACTCAGAGACCCATAGAGACTCGTAGAGACCCAAATAAACTCACAGAGACCCATAGAGACTCACAGAGACCTATAGACTCACAGAGACCCAAATAAACTCAGAGACCTATAGAGACTCACAGAGACCCATAGCGACTCACAGAGACCCATCGCGACTTGTAGAGACCCAAATAAACTCATAGAGACCTACAGAGACCCATAGAGACCCAAAAAAAACTCAGAGACCTATAGAGACCCATACAAACGCATATGGATACATTAAAGACAACCACATTGGTGCAATTTTTGGCTATGTATAACCCAAACAATGGACCACACAGTGAACCCGCTGTGGTCTGCGCCCCTTCAACGGAGGAGGATGAACAGCGGACATGACACGAAATCTCTCTCTGCTGAAGCCCTCTCTCGTCGTGAGGGCAGCAGCAGCAGCTGGACCTCGACATTGGCATCGAGCTCCTGAACAGTGCTGCTGCTGCTGCCATCATGCGCGAGAATAGAATTACCTTCTGTGGCTGCAGCTGTATGTATGTTGAACATCTTTCGCACCGTACGTAACCAACGGTACTTATCAGAGGTGTGATTATTTACCCTTCACGTGGCCTCCAGTGTTTACGACAAACGCCATCGTCAACCCGACCACCGGGTACTCATTTGAGGCTGAGTTGACCTAGGGGAGGCCCCATGACCGGTGCAGATAATCGCTATCACTTGTGTTGGCCGTGAGCGGGAATCGAATTGTGGTCACTGGGTTCGTGACGCAGCACGCTAATCGCTGCACCGCTGCTCCCACCACACACACGTACGCGGTGCTCTCGGCACGGAACGTGTTTCCCACTGTATCAATGGGGTGGTTTGCTTTGTTCCCCCCAGGGCTGGATTTGCTTCCAGGCAAACTCGTCGCCACCACCGCCTTGAATCACGAGGGGAACTTGAGCTGCATAGCCAACGCGTCTCCGACCCCCAAGTTCTCGTGGTTCAGGAACGGCACGCCGGTGGGCCCCGCCAAGGAGGCCTCCGACGGGACGCTCTGCACCTCCACGCTGCTCGTAGCGGGCGGCACGGACTCGCTCCTGGGCGAGTACACGTGCGTGGCCACCAACGAGGTCGGCTCGCGGAACCGGACGATCGTCGTCACAGGCGAGACGGGGGACTGGGAGGTTCGCTTGGGCTCGTGGTTGGAGAACGTTTTCTTGTTTCGCGTGCCAGTGTGAAGCGATTATTAAGCTGTTCGGTCGCCCCTGTGGAGGCTTCGTGATTCGTGGTCTGCGAATCGTACTGCAAGGGCTCCATGTTGGCTCGGCTCGCGTGCGGTGCCAGTGGAAAACCACCCGTACCGTGCCAGCCCTTCGCTGGCTCGACTCGCATGCGGTGCCAGTGGAAAACCACCCGTACCGTGCCAGCCCTGCACTGGCTCGGGCCACATGCGGTTCAAGTGGAAAATCACCCATACCGTGCCAGCCCTGCACTGGCTCGGCCCACATGCGGTGCCAGTGGAAAACCACCCATACCGTGCCAGCCCTGCACTAACTCGGCCCACATGCGGTGCCAGTGGAAAACCACCCATACCGTGCCAGCCCAGCACTGGCTCGACTCGTGTGCGGTGCCAGTGGAAAACCACCCGTACCGTGCCAGCCCAGCACTGGCTCGAGTCGTGTGCGGTGCCAGGGCCATTAGGTCCACGTTCCAGTGGGCACCACCCTCCGATCTGGAACGACCGGTACACATCGAAACTTAGCGTAAGCCTTCCGTAATACAGGTTTTTTTGGGTTAGATCGCGTAAATATAAATGTGTCATTAAACGCCACCACCCGATACAGCCAACTAGTAAGAGTTGTCACGTAAACAGAACGTGCCAATTAGTCACTAGTACAACACACCTCCGTGTTGGAGAGCCAAGCCACAACATTTACAATCAGAGTAAGACGTTTCGCCAGCAATTACAACCAGCTTCATCAGGCGACAGGCAGATTTGTGGAGAAGTCCACCTGTTTCGTTCCTTAAATAGAGGCGTAGACGTGATGACAACTCTTGTGCACTCTTCTTGCGGGAAGTGGGGGCGGGATTAATGAGTCAGCGTACATGATGCATGCACATTATGCGGGCCCATTTATCTTGTAGTTCCTGTCCATCGTGTGGACTAAACTAGCCATACCAACGATAATACCTATTGAAGTGCATTTAAACAATGTCTTATTTGATGAGTCGCTTCCAAGTAGCACGAAGTCTGTAGCTATCCGAACGGTTAAAATTATTTTTATTTCTCTCGATTTCGATAGATTCTCTAATTAGTCTTGGCCAAGAGTAACTAGTTTTGCACAGAACTTCAACATTATCGAAATCAATTGAGTAACCCATCCGCCCGACCCTCTCACGCAGACGCCAAGCTGTCCTCGTTCACCGTCTTCCTGGATGCCCACAAGCGCTGGGCGCTGCTCAGGTGGACTCTCAAGAGGTGGGGGGGCGACAACAACGGCGGCGACTGGGGGGCCCTGACCGCGGTCGTCGTTCAGCGGAACGCTTCGCCCGCCCCGCTGAGCCGAGCGACGCCCGCCGCGTGGACGCTGGTGGCGCGCGTGCCGCCCACCGCCCAGGGGACGCACAACGACTCGCAGCTGGCGGGGGCCACGGCGCCCGCCTACCGGCTGCTCCTGGAGTTCGGAGACGTGACGCAGGAGGAGGAATCGGCCATCGCCGGTGAGGAACGAAGGTCGGGGTGGCGGCGATGCTCGCGGCTCACCGCTCGCGTTCGATTCCCAACTCGGGAGCCGTTCCGCGTGGAGTTTGTGTCTTCCCTCCCCGTCCCCCCGCCCGTTTTACATACAGTGTATGCTTCCAGCCCTGTGGATGTGGCGATGCTTGGTGGGCCACACAAACGTTGGGGGGGGGAGGGTGCAGAGTCTCTCCATGGGGCAAACAACAACCACCGTCGTTTGATGCGCTAAAAGCTACGAATAAAATGACGTAACGAGCGGGACTGTCCCGGACTGGGCCACAGCGGTAACTCTGTGGCTTGGCGGCCTCCTCAGGGCTCAGGGTCACGTGCCTCGACCCAGAGGGTGCAGACTGCGCCGCCGACTCGACACCCCCACGCGACAAGGTGGCCGAGACCGGCATCGTGGTGGGCTCGGTCCTGGCCGTCAGCCTCGTCGTCATCGGCCTCCTCGCCATCGTCTGCTTCAGGAAGCGCAAGCTGCCAGGTACAAGCGCGCGCCACTCCGCACGCACGACAGCGACAATCCCCACCTGTCCGGGTTCGTACACCGGCCTGACCCGGGGTTTGACACCGGGAATTGACCCCGACGATCCAGGAATCGGCGTTTGTGTTTCGGTGGCAGGAATTGATTTGTGCCGAGACCTGCTACTGGCAATTGCTGGGATGAAATTTCGTGACGGTTTTATTCAGCCAAACAGAAGACAGACACACACACACACACATATACCTGCTTGCACGCCCTGCCATTCTGAGCCATGTTTGTGTGTGTTTTGCAGGACAATTTGATGCAAAGGCAGCTGCAAGGTAAGACTCGTGTCAGTAGAGTTCCGTTAATGTGGGGTTAGAACAAGGGGATGTTGCTGCATTGCCCTGTGCTGTCCACAACTGGACATCTGTGAAATAGAGCTTCATAGCTCATCGGATTCCTCCAGATTCTGACGACACCTGCTACTCCTCTCCTCTGCACGGTGGTGGTCGCCCATCCAAACGCTATCCAGGCTCAAACCTGCTTAGCTTCCGAGAACTGCCGAGATCGGGCACGTTGGGAGTCACTTTTTTCATAGGCATAGATTAGTTACCACGTGCATTGCAAATTGCCAAGATGTTTGTTTTTTAAGAGGAAAACGTAGGCCTATCTGTAAAGCTGCGACAGTGATGGTGCAATTGGTAGTAGCGCCACTGGACTTGAAATCCAGATGTCGACGGTTGTGGGGAGTGGTGGCGCAGCGGTTAGCGCACCGCGCTCCGAATCCTCTCAAGGCCAACACCGGTGACAGTTATTTGAACCGGTCTTGGGCCTCCCCGAGGTCGACTCAGCCTCAAATGAGTACCTGGTGCGGTGTTTAAATAACATCACCACGGGGGAGACAAAGGCACCCGGGCGTGGTGCTGGCCACCCACCCCCTCGCGTGCTGTACCGGCCTTCCTAGGTGCTACTCGCTAGCAGCACTTGCCCCAACAGTCTGTGAAGGCTACACGGGGGAGGGGAGGATCTTTGTCTTTGTTGTGTCGACCGTGTTCTTGCAGACGCCCACAGGTCTACGCAGGCGACGTGGTTCCTAAGCAGACGTCACCAACAACAACAGAACGCGACATCCTATCCGCCCTGCCCCCCAACACCGCTCCACGTGACAGTGAGACCCCCCACCCCCTTTCTCTGCACAGTTGTCTTGTTCCATGCCTTACATCGACCTAGGGGAGAGGCCCAGGACCGGTTCAGATAATCGTCACCGGTGTTGGCCGTGAGCGAGAATCGAACCTGGGTTGCCAGGTTCATAGCGCAGCGTAGCGCTAACCACTACACTACCGCACACACACAGTGACACACACACACACACAGTGACATACACACACAGTGACACACACACAGTGACACACACAGTGACACACACAGTGACACACACACAGTGACATACAACAACAGACAAAGGCGTTGGTGCCCAGCGGCTGCTGCTTCTTCTTCTGTCGTATGGCGGCTGATGTAGAGGCAGAGCAGGTGGTGAAGCCAGACGACCTCGTCAGGAGCAGTGGAGTTGTATCGCTGCGATGTCTCCTTCGTATTTGTGGATCGGGGCATTGCGTCGTGATACGTTCTACGGCAGGGCTGGGGAACGTGCAGTCCGCGGGCCGTACGAGGCCCACGAAATCATTTGGTGTGGCCCTGCCAAGGCAATCGCAGGCGGGACTCGAAATTCAATAAATCTAGGAGCAAACCTGGAAAAGCAGTTGCGAGTAGAAACATCATCAATACCAGCTAACATCACACGCCTCGCCAAAGAGAAGCAGTTCCAGCCATCACATTAGGGGTGAGTTAATTAAATGTTTGACCAAATATAACGGGCTAATTTTTAAGTTGATAATGTTGTATGGCCCGCGAATGATGTTATAGATATCCAAATGGCCCTTGGCAGAAAAAATCTTCCCCGCTCCTGTTTTACGGTCTGTTATAGATGACCACAGTCGCAAACCACTGGAGATGTTTTATTTATTTCCCACGTGTGCACCAGGTATCCGCATCTGCCATGGTGTGTACAGATGCCACGGTGGCTCGGAGATGTGAATTACCTCACCTGGTATACAGGAGGTCGTGGGTTCGATCCCGATCCTGACGCCTGCTGCTGCTGTATATTGGAGTTTGCGTGTCTCTCTCTCCCTGGTCTCCAGGCCCTCCCGTTTTCCTCCACATTGAGAAGCACGTGTCTCGAGTGTTTGTCTGCCGCTGTCCATTTCCCCGTGGTGCTAAGCCACTTCGTGGAGCTATCATTTGTGATGGCCAAGTCGCTTTTGACAAACAGCTACGCAGCAGCAGCAGCTTAGTGGGGCATTACACCTGGCCAAATAGAAACATTGCTTAGTTATTTGTTTAAGATGCCGTTTCGGGGTGGACCATGAGCTTCGTGGAAGATCAAAACCAGCGACTGCGTGAGCGCCACCTCGTGGCTGTATTAGAGAACAAAACTAAAACTTTTATATTTTTTGGGTCTTTCGGTAAAGCCACGTCGACAGAATAGCACAAAATATCGACGTTTCGATCGCAACACAAGCGGTCGTCTTCAGGACAAGTCAAGATTTAAAACGTTATATTTCACCAGTGAAGGCCTCACCGAGCTACGTAGCGACCCTGCGCCATCACAAATGATTACTCGACAAAGCGGCTTACAGCATCATCATCGTGTGGAGATTCATAGCAGCCAAATACTCTAGACGCACGAATACTCTAAATGTGGAGGGGGGGAAAAACTGGAGGACCCGGAGCAAAAATCCACGCGACCACGGGGGGAGAGAGAGACACCGCAAACTCCAAATACACAGCAGCAGCAGCAGGCGTCAGGGTTGGGATCGAATTCACGACCTCCTGCATACCAGGCGAGATTGTTAACATCTCCTAGCCACCGAGAACTTAGCATTCACTTCCCCGTGTTGACCGGGGCCAATCTACAGCACCGCCCCTGCTTGTTTTTACTGCCAGTTAGGAGCGGCCAGTAATTAAATATTTACGTGATGTTATTGTGCTCACACTAACTTGCCCAGGACACTCTCGATAGAGTCTCAAGACTTGTTTAGAGGAGGCTCCTGCCAGGTTGAGGGGCGATGTTTCTGCTGTGTGTGTGATCCCAATTGAGTTGAAATGCGTGAAACAGTGGCGGCTTGAAGGGATCGGATGGGTAGTTCTGTGATATCCACTTTCGTGGGACTTTGTCGAACGCGAAACGCGACGCACTGCTCTGGGAGATATCACAATCCACGCCTAGTCTCGTCACTCCCACGGTACATTTGGAATTAAAAAAACACGTACTTCTAAGTTGAATTGAAACGGCACAATGTCGTTTTGTCTCTAATGCACGTTCCGTTTTGCAGGTGACGGCGGCGGTGATGAAGTCGTCGTGGCCAACGTGATCGACAGAAGGGACGGCTTGGTAAGACACCGAGAGCGTGCGTGTGGTGGTCACCACGCTCCCTCCACTCCTTGTTTGACGTTGACGGAAGGTCCGAGGCCACGTCAGCTCGATGAGCCTGCTCCAATGATAACCCCGGGTTCGATTCCCGCTCACGGCCAATACCAGCGACGATTATCTGAACCCGTCTTGGGCCTCTCCCCTACGTTGACTCAGCCTCAAATGGGTACCAGGCGCGATGCGTAAACACGGCCGCTGGGGAGACAAAGGCAGCCGCGCGTGGTGCTGGCCCCCTCGTGTGCCGCAGTGCCGGCCTTCATCGGCGCTGCTACTCGCTGACAGCACTTGCCCTGACGGCCTGTCAAGGGCTGTGGGGGCGGGAAGTCTTTGTCTGGGAGAGCGAGCGAGGTGGCGCGCGACGGTTTGACGGCGTGCAGAGGGTTGGGACCCCGTCGCGTCGGCCCCACGACACACGTAGGGGAGCACGTGGGTCAGAACGACACCCACGTGGGTCAGAGAGACACCCACGTGGGTCAGAACGACACCCACGTAGGTCAGAGGGACACCCACGTGGGTCAGAGGGACACCCACGTGGGTCAGAGGGACACCCACGTGGGTCAGAGAGACACCCACGTGGGTCAGAGGGACACCCACGTGGGTCAGAGGGACACCCACGTGGGTCAGAGGGACACCCACGTGGGTCAGAGGGACACCCACGTGGGTCAGAGGGGCACCCACGTGGGTCAGAACGACACCCACGTGGGTCAGAGGGGCACCCACGTGGGTCAGAACGACACCCACGTGGGTCAGAGGGACACCCACGTGGGTCAGAGAGACACCCACATGGGTCAGAGGGACACCCACGTGGGTCAGAGGGACACCCACGTGGGTCAGAGGGGCACCCACGTGGGTCAGAGGGGCACCCACGTGGGTCAGAGGGACACCCACGTGGGTCAGAGAGACACCCACGTGGGTCAGAGAGACGCCCACGTGGGTCAGAGAGACATCCACGTGGGTCAGAGGGACACCCACGTGGGTCAGAGGGGCACCCACGTGGGTCAGAACGACACCCACGTGGGTCAGAGGGGCACCCACGTGGGTCAGAGGGACACCACCGCCGCTTTGTGACGTCAATGGTCCGAGCGTTGAGGGTTGGGAGTGGGGCTCGATGGTCGAGGTGAACGAGCGGAGCGGCAGCCAGGGGAGTGGAATGCGTGAGAGAGGACGGCCTGCGAGGTTCCTGTGGTGCGTGCGACGTCTTCACTGTTACTTCGCACGATCGTGGGAAGTGGTGGTGGCCGTTTGAGGAGGCCTTCATCCAGCAATGGATTGCTCCTGGCTGATGATGATGATGGTGGTGGTTGTACCTGGGCTGGTACTTGACAGGCCGAGCTGTGGGAGGAGGAGGAGGAGGAGGTGGTGGTGCGGGAGAACGGTCACTACGTGAGCTATGACACGAGCCGGAGCAGCGTCCCTCAACAGCAGCAGCAGCAGCAGCCTCCCTCGCAACTCCACGAGCCCGGCCACCACGACGAGCTCGAGGTGACGGAGACCAATCACAACTTGAGCCACATCGTGGAGAACAACAACCTCCATCAACAACAACAACAACAGCAACAACAACAGCCTCCCTCGCAACTCCAGGAGCCCGGCCACCATGACGAGCTCGAGGTGACGGAGAACCACCACGACTTGAGCCACATCGTGGAGAACAACAACCTCCCTCAACAACAACAACCTCCCTCAACAACAACAATAACAGCCTCCCTCAACAACAGCCTCCCACAACAACAACAGCCTCCCTCAACAACAACAGCCTCCCACAACAACAACAGCCTCCCACAACAACAACAGCCTCCCTCAACAACAGCCTCCCACAACAACAACAGCCTCCCACAACAACAACAGCCTCCCTCAACAACAACAACAACAGCCTCCCTCAACAACAACAGCCTCCCACAACAACAACAGCCTCCCTCAACAACAACAATAACAACCTCCCTCAACAACAACAATAACAGCCTCCCTCAACAACAACAGCCTCCCACAACAACAACAGCCTCCCTCAACAACAACAACCTCGCTCAACAACAACAACAGCCTCCCTCAACAACAACAGCAGCCTCCCTCGTCAGGCGACAGCCAGAGTTGTGGAGACATCCTGCCTGTTTCAAGCACGCAGTGTAACCTGGTCATGGCCAAGCACGCCGCAAATGCTGAAATGTGACCTGCAAGTCACTTGATTGAGATCACACAACAACAACAACAACCGCAGCAGGAGCAGCAGCAGCAGCACCCCAACCCCGACAACTCGGCAGGACCCTGCTACAACAGTGCGGTGTCTCTGTCCCGATGTTCAAACTTCTTTCGCACCCTGCGTCGCCAACCGTGCTCACCGGGGTTACGGAAGACGCTGGAGGCTTTGCTGGGTAGCAAGCAACAATAACAATACGGATCATTGTTAGGTGAACGTGTCAAGCAAAGGTACAATTGTGGCGTTGTGCGTGGACCGGTCCATTCACTATCGTGACACATATCCTCCCATTGCCGAGTGTCACCCTGCTGATGGTTCTGTTATCGTCGATTCAATTTACACTTTGCCATCGCTCGAGTCGTGCTGCTGTCGTGGAGTGTGAACACAAAAAACAACTTCCCTGTGAAACCCACGCCTGTGGCCAGGGCCGATGACTTAAACATTCATCAATTGTCTATTTCATTTTATCCCCTCCCCCCATGAACCCCCTGACCCACGTGAACAACATTTCCAGGTTCCATGGCCCACAGGGAGGGGCAAACCCCATCGCTTATTAATGTTTAGTTTCATTACCTAAGGTGTTTTATTTGTCGCTCCGCTATAAATAGGATTTGACGCGATATACAAATTAAATGTTTATTATTGTTCTACTCCACTTCTCTGAGAGCCAATTTAGAGATACCAGAACAAACAATCAGACGGTGATCACAACAGAGAAATGAGTCCATGAAGTGAACATCCCAGACCACAGGTTCCAACTTCTCACACAAGCCAGGAAAGTTTCACAGGAGGTCACCAGTCATTTAGACCCAAGGTCACCACCCATTTAGACCCAAGAGGTCACCACCCATTTAGACCAAGAGGTGACCACCCATTTAGACCCAAGAGGTCACCACCCATTTAGACCCAAGAGGTCACCACCCATTTAGACCAAGAGGTGACCACCCATTTAGACCAAGAGGCGATGTTTTATTTAAAGTTACCACGACTCAATCTTCACGCCCTTCCCATCACTCGCGCAGCGCGGGAACGATGTCACAGCGTCTCCACAGCCGTCAACCCCTTGTCAGTGCCCTGCCTTGTGACAGACCAACTCAGACCTGACTGGTCACCCCGCGCCCTGATACATCTCAACGCTCATCCTACAAAGTCACATCACAAGAGAGAAACACAAACATAAAAAAATATTTGCTCGTATTGAAACGGCTGTATGCCGTATGGGCCTGAAAACTCTGTTTCCCTGTACAAGAATAAGGGGTAAACCGTATGGGTTGACAGATTTGATAATCTGTTTACATTCACTTGTTATATTTTTAGGCATTTTTTTATTCATGGAATCTGGAATTTTTACATGCACAGTGCAGCACTTTGTGATGTTTAAATAAAGGAGCAGTATGGGAAAAAAGTGACTAAGGGGAAAACCCAACAACAATTGTCACTGGGCACATAACTCACCCATGTCCCCAGGGCTGGGGATACAGTTGTGAGTGTGTGGGTGGGTGTGTGTGTGCGCGCGTGTGTGTTGTACCGGGGGAATTTCCATTTGGTACAAATATAATGGGAGGCTGATCCATGCCCGGGTGCGGTCAAGGGATTGCTCCCGAATTGCTCAACCACGTTATGTATGCCGATGATTTGGTAATTGCTGCTCATTCAGAGGAGGAGTTGGAGACGATGCTGCTGAGACTGGAGCTTTCCACTAAGAGGTGGGGCCTTACCATCAGCTCCACCAAAACTAAGCACCTGCCTGGGTATTTTGTAGCATCGGACACTCCACCCCCACAACTCCCAATCGGTGATGGGGCATTTGTGGAGTGAGTGGAGAGTTTCCCATACCTGGGCAGTGTGCTTATGACCGGCTCCAGTTTAACAGCAGAGGTCTCACTCCGAATCTTTGAATCAGTTGCGTAACGCTGTGTAGAAGCTACCTCGTCTGTCGCTCCGCACGAAGCTTCAGGTCTTCTCGGCTACAGTCATTCCCTCCCTTATCTACGCTTGCGAAACGTGGACCCCCCCCCCCCCTAATGGAACATCTTCGCCGGTTAGAAACATTTAGGCTAGCCTGCCTACGATCCATCCTGGGTTAACCAGGCTGGAATGTGTGAGGAGCTCACAAATCCTTGAAAGATGTGGAAAAGGTCCCATCGGTGAGCTCCTCCGGCAGGCAAGGCTGCGTTGGCTGGGTCATGTAGCCCGCATGCCCAGCCACTGCATGCCTAAAAAGCTTTTATTTCGCCGGATCGAGGGGGCTAAATGAGTGCGGCACGGGCTAGAGAAGAGATGGAGTGATTTCGATTTAAAGCTTTCGTGACTGCAGGTATTCATCTTCTTGGTTCTTTCGGTAAAGTCACGTAGAAGGGAAGTAATAAAATAATAAAAATAAAACATAATAAAATAATTCTAACGACGTTTCGGCCACAACGCAAGCAGCCGTCCTCAGGTGAAGAATGAAACACCACCAAGCTCCAAGCTTGGTGGTGTTTCATTCTTGCGTTGTGGCCGAAACATCGTGAGAATTATTTTATTATGTTTTATTTTTATTATTTTATTACTTCCCTTCTACGTCACTTTACCGAAAGAACCAAGAAGATGGAGTGATGTGGTACAGGAGGACGTGGAGCTGAGTGGACTTGCCGATGACTGGTACCAGCGGTGTCAAGATCGGCCTCTGTGGAGGAGGCTCGTGAAGGACGCTACTGGGCAGTTGGAGGCAGTCGCCCTCCAGCAACAACGGAGGGCGGAGGAGCGACGCTCACAACAACGAGCGGAGCGCCGGGTGGCTAAAGCACAGCAAGTTGGCACAGTAGGGGGCACAGGTGGTGCATCAGCCAGTCATCTCAGTCATCTCAGTCAGTCGAGCCGTGGCACTTGGGTCTGCCCCGTGACCTCCTGCCAGTGGGCGTTCGACACTTAACGTGGCCTCAAGGTGCACATGGCCTGGCACAAGCGTCGTGGTGACGTCACCGCCACTTCGTGGCGAATGGCGGTTGTTGTTGTGTGTGAGTGGATGTGTGAGTGGGTGGGTGTGTGTGAGTGGGTGGGTGTGTGTGTGTGTGAGTGGGTGTGTGTGTGTGTGTTTGATCTCCACGACAGGGAGCGGTAGTGTCGTGGTTAGCGCGCTGCGCTACGAATCCGGCAGCCGGAGTTCGATTCCCACGAATGGCCACCACCAGTGACGATTATCTGCAGCGGTCCTGGTCCTCCCCTTGGTCGACTCAGCCTCAAATGAGTATCTGGAGACAAAGGCAGCCTTCATCAGGTGCTCGCTAACAACACTTGCCCCTGCAGTCTGTAGAACTTGATGCGGCGGGGATACTTTTTATGTTGTGTTTGTCCTCTCCTGCCGTGGGTGTCCCAGTCTTTGGTGGGGCGCCTCTGAAGCCCACCCGAAGTTGGTCTCCACCGCCCTTCACCCTGGCATGGGAATGCTCACCGGTTCACCACAGACGGTGGGGGTGGTGGTGGTGGGACCTTTGGGCCGGAGCTGCATTGTGGAGGAACAACAACAGTCAGCGGGGTGTCGTCCAGTCGTAGACGTTCAGTCACAAACTTGTTGAGACGCAGAGTGAATGTGGGAGATGTTCCTGGGGCATCATTGGCAGCGTGCCAAGGCCCTCGACTGATGGGAACTGAACAGTGAGGAGGGGCTAGGAGATGTTGACTCCCTCGCCTGGTATACAGGAGGTCGTGTTTTTGATCCCGACCCTGACGCCTGTTGTATATCTGCACTAGTATTATGACAGTAGTGCATATACAATATGATAGTACACGCACTACCATCATGTTTTGTACTGTTTGTTGTCGTTACGGTCTTACCCACCCCGACTGGTCATCTGTGAAAAGGGCTTTATAGCTCATGGGATTGCTCCAGTATCAATATTCTGACTGTGATATTTGGAGTCTGCGTGTCCTCCTCGTGGTGGCGTGGTTTTTTGTCCAGGCCCTCCGGTTCCCCCTCCCGCCCTTCACAATTAGAATGAACGTCGCCACGCGTCCAAGCTGCGAGAGATGTCCACGTGATGAGCCATTGTCGTTGAGCTGCCATTTGTGGCCAGGTCGCTTCTGAAACAGAGCTACACAGTTCCTTGGGCCTACCTGCTAAGGTAAAACAAAGTGTGAGTTAAATCAAGTATTGTGGCTTGTTCGAGATGTTACTTGAAGGGATCTCAGAGGTAGCTCTGTCATATCCGTTGCCACGGCTGGCTCTGCCGTCGGAGTTCCCAGCGAATTCCTGGTGTCGTGACAAGGCGACGACATCACAATGGGACGGTAGAATTGGCGGTGGCAAGGGGAGTGTGTGGGAGAGTGAAAAACAAGAAAGAGGAAATCCTACATCAAATGAATCATAACCAGGTCAAAACCACAAAAATGAATGACGTTTGGCTTTATAGCAGGCACGTGAGTCAAATTGAGGCACGTGAGTGACTCATGTGCTGCTATAAATGTCGGGATCTGACTTTGACATATTTCACATTTCACTTTTTCTTGAGGCGTGTATTGTGTTTTTGGATATCGTTCTATTGGCGAACCCCGCCCTTCTCTTGTATATAATCCCTGCAGTCACGAAAGCTTTAAATCAAAATATATAAACTCAGCTAACGTCCGAACATTCAACCTCCGTCCTCTGGAACCCGGCTGGCTCGCATGCAGGGACCGATGCTCCACCTCACATGGCTGGCTCTGGTCGCCGTGGCCCACGCAGGTACGGCGGTGACAGCCACGGCGGCTGATGTCCTTCTTGACGATACGACGCGAAGCGATATGGGAAGGTATCACGACGATTGTCGCGACAGTTTAAACGCAACTCGTTTCTTTAAATGTCACTTTGGTGCTTACGATTCGCAGTGTCTTCTGGGCTTTCTCTGCTCGCCGTGCGATGAACGATCTCACGAGCGGGACGTTCTTCCGCTGCAGTGCAGCGACACCTGCACGTGGCCTGGCCGTTGCTGCTGCCACCATTGCTCAAGTCGATGTTGTTGTAATTGCCACGTGGGGCCTTTCCCGCACGGCTGTGACATCCAAGGCGCCACGGCATGGAACACACGGAAACGAGAATTCAGCAACATTCATTGTATAAAGTATAATGTCATTTTTAAAAAAATAATTAATAATTCCTTATCACCATCACCATCCTCGTCAATGCACGAGAGATGAGGTTGCCAGTCAACTTCAGTAGCGGAGCGAGCGGTGGGATCTGAGTTGACATTGGAACATGGTGGTGATGGAGTCGATGGAGCGTTGTCGTGTCGGGGAGGTCATTCAAGAGGCGTGGCGGCTGCGAATGAGGATGAGAATGAATGAGGTGAGAATAATGAGAATGAGGATGATGAGAATGAGGATGAATGAGAATGAGGATGAGAATGATTGAGGATGATGAGAATGGGGATGACCAGTATCGCTCATGGTTGGTGTTGGGAGCAGTGTTGGGGTTTGATAGCGAGGAGATCTGCCGGGTTTGATTGATCCCTAGGATGGGTTGAGATGCACGGTGGAGCCTGGCGCCGTGATCCTTTATACGCGAGCAAGATTACGTATAAATGTATTTTGTCCTTGATAGGTAAACAGTGTAGGCTTCTATTCTTAACGTCAGTGTGATGTTGATTTATTTCTGAAGACTGAACACGAGTCGAGGTTCCTTGTGTCGGACGATTTGAAGTCGCTGCAGCCGTCTGTGCGGTCACCTGACGAGCGTCAGTGAGAGACGATCCCCTCGCCTGTGTGTCTCGACAAGTCGATGAGATGTATTGATAGAGTTGCATGCACGTTGAACTTCGTTTGCACCGTACGTAGCCAACCGTGTTGATCGGAGGCGCGAGGGAAGGACGACACTCAACAAACTAAACACACAAAGAGTTACTCTTTGGTTCTTTCGGTAAAGTCACGTAGAAAATAAAATAGTAATAGAATACGACGTTTCGGTTGCAACTCCAGCAACCATCATCAGAGAGTCGCTGAGCAGGGGCTCAAATGCCGAGAAGGGCAAGCGGGGAGCACCACGCATCTCTGCTGACGGTGTTCACGGATGAGCGTGAGTGTCGCGTGAACGGAGCGACGTGAATCGACGAGTGTGGGGGCAGAGCGCGTGGGAGGGAGCTCCAAAGTGGAACAGCGCTAGGGAAGCGTCGTGGCGGAGGAGTGGATAGTTGAGTGGGTGTGTGGGTGAGTGGATAGGTGTGTGGGTGTGTGGGTGAGTGAATGGGTAGGTGAGTGGGTGTGTGGGTGAGTCAATGGATAGGTGAGTGGGTGTATGGGTGAGTGAATGGATAGGTGAGTGGGTGTATGGGTGAGTCAATGGATAGGTGAGTGGGTGTGTGGGTGAGTGAATTGACAGGTAATTGGGTGTATGGGTGAGTCAATGGATAGGTGAGTGGGTATATGGGTGAGTGCGATATTGGGTGAGTGGATCGGTGAGTGGGTGATTCAGTGAGTGAATTAGTTGGGTGAGTAGTTGGGTGAGTGGATTGGTTGGGAGAGTGAGTCAGTAGGGTAGGTGAGTGGTTGAGTAACTAATTCGCACATTTAGTTTACGTGACGAACCTCACTGATTGGCTGTGTCGAGTGGTTTGCAGGTTTAACGACACATTTATCTATTCACGACACAAACTTCTATTCTGTCTGTCGCGATCAGCTGGGACCAACTCGCCGGGGCTTTCCGCGACGACTCCCGATCTGAGCGTCTCCACCCACGGAGACTTCCACGGCGAGTGACGTCACACACCGTGACACTGACGAGGTGTCGCGTAGGGGGCGGGGCTACTGACGTGATGCTGCTGCTGGGCTGGGTCTTCATTAGCATAATAGGAGACAACGCAAAGTTCCCCCGTGTAGCCTTCACAGACTTTTTGGGGCAAGTGCTGTTAGCGAGTAGCAGCGACACGTGTGAAGGCTGGGACTGTGGCACGCGAGGGGGTGGGTGGCCAGCATCACGCCCGGCCGCCTTTGTCTCTCCAGTGGCGATGTTGAAACACCGCATTTGAGCCTGATAAGTTATCATCACTAGCAGCAGCATCGGCTTCATAAACTCCATGGCCACGATCATCGTCGACTGCGTTGACTTTGTTTGTTTGACCCACAGATGTCAACCGGTCATCATCGACCGAGATCAGTCCACTGCTGGATGGAGGCCTCCCCAAGCCGTCGCCGTCACTCACGATCATGCGATGTAAATAGTCCACCGAGCACGCTGCTGCACACGAACCGATTCCATCGCTCCGTCTCTTAGCTGGACACAACCATGTGTTCCCTTTGTCACAAACACAAAGCTCTGTGTGGGAAGTTATGACGCGTTTATATTTACTCGATATAACCAAAAACAACCTCGATAAAGGATAATTCTCAAACACTCTCAACATTCTCCACTTCCTGGGAAGCATGCTCGGGTTAGCGCCTCCGAGGCACAACGGGGAGTCATCACGGGACGAGGAAGAGGAACACCCCACGGTAGCGCACGAGGGAGAGACCTGCAGGTCAATGCACCGCTCTGAGTGACTGCAGCCCCATCAAGCAACCGACAAAGCCAGGATCTGTGAAGTCCCAGGTAGACTTACAGATGTCCCAGGTGAGCTGCCTCGACAAGAGGACGGTCCTGAAATAACGAGGGCAGTTGGCAACCCCATGCAGGTAGCATCGCTATAGCGGTAGGCCTGGCAGGGCGCTATCCTGTAGAGTTACAGATGTGTGGGAGACAAACACTGTCTCGGCCTCGCTGTGCGCTGCGTTGCACCACTATCCGAGTAAATAACCTCTGGTTCAATAAACCTTCAGAGCCAGGGTGAACATCCGACTCCACAGGTATTGAATGAATTGAACGAGGTAACACTGATGAAAAAACACAGCACAAATACAGCATCTGTTAATACTTGGAAATATCAATAGAATGAATGAACACTAAAGCATAACAATGTCTTAGATAACATGAAACTCAACAATAGATCCTGGATGGACCAGGCACCTACATTAGTACTGAATCGCTATACTAGACAATAAGCTACTGTGTTAAATAAGGGCACATTATGTAATCACAATACTGCAGCCTAAATGTACAGCACTACACATAACACTGAACTGTGGATGAGATATTTCGTCATCCTTGCTCTCAAGATCGCAATAAGGTTACATGGGTACAAGTCTGACTCGACTTTTTCAATTACAAGTAACATTCGCAATAAGGCAAGTGGCAGGCTTCGTTGTTAACTAGGCCTCATATTTGTCTTAACAATTTAACAGTATTTAAAAGGCATTTACAGCATTATAACGGCCATTCTAACATTATAACCGCATTCCTAGTATTATAAGAACATAAACGAACTTACAGACAATGCTTCTTAAAGTCCCACAATGAACAGATGCACCTGTCTTCACTGAGACGCTATTTGTGCCTCCATTTTGTACTCTGCATAATGGCTGACACCCTGCCGCGTGGCTGAGAGAATCTTAAATCGTAACTTCCTGGTCACGTGACCAAACTCAACATCCATACAGGAAATACCTGTGTACACACACCCCCACACCTGCCATGAGGCAGAACAAACACTGACAATGTCATTCTTCTTCTTCTTGCAGCGGCTCAAGTCAATTCGACCGAGCCCCTTCGACCGAATGCAAACAACAGCCACGCGTCGGAGCAGCCTCAAGCCCAGGAGGATTTCATTCACAGCACAAAAGCCTTGCGGGTGGTGACATCTTCTGCAGTGAGCGGTGGGTGCAATGGCAGGGGTTGTGGCGAGTGCCCATCACCACCACCGCAGGGTCAATTGTCGTGCCACGACTCTGGCGTGGGGATAGGAGATCCGCGTGGTCACCAAAAATGCTTCCAGTCGCCCAGCCCAGAGCGGCTGTGTCACCGGTTGGTGCCGCCTGTCGATGATTGGCCGAGTGAGCAGGGGCGGCACTCTGTGGACATTCTGTGAGTAGCACCTTTGGTGATGTTCCACTCGACCGCGTGGCCCTGCTCCCCCTGTGGGGAGTCAGACAGCAGCAGTAGCAGCAGTATCATTAGCAACATCAGTAGTCTCAGTAGCAGTATTATCAGTAGCAGCAGTATCAGCAATAGTAGTCTCAGTAGCAGCAGTATCAGTAGCAGCAGTAGCCGCAGAAACAGTAGCAGTAGTCTCAGTATCAGCAGTATCAGTAGCAGCAATAGCAGTAGTATCAGTAGCAGCAGTATCAGCAGCAGTAGTCTCAGTAGCAGCAGTATCAGTAGTCTCAGTAGCAGCAGTATCAGCAGCAGTAGTATCAGTAGCAGTAGCCGCAGTATCAGTAGCAGCAGTAGCAGCAGCAGTAGTATTAGCAGCAGTAATGTAAAGACTGTGTCAGCAAGTCTCGATGTGAAGACAGGGTGTCATCGAGGCTGGAGGATCTTGGGTCAGAAATTCGCCAGTGTCCAAAATAGACAGCTGGGGAAATCCCCACAGAGAATCCACGAGGATAAAGCAGGGCAAGAAGGGGAGCTCAAGGCTGTCGAGAGGGACTCGGTCCGTCACCGCTGTCTGCTCGCTCATGCGATCTCCACGTCGGCGTTATTTCTTGACGACGCGGTCCTAAGCCACGTCACGTGCGATAAAATAAACCTCTGCAGCTCGAGTCCGGAGTCGTTACAGTAGTAGCAGTAATATAAGTAACAGCAGCAACAGCAGCAGTAGCAGCAACACCTATGAAAGCTGGGACTGTGGCACGCGAGGTGGGCGGCCAGCACCACGCCCGGCCGCCTTTGTCTCCCCAGTGGCGATGTTCAAACACCGCATTTGAGCCTGTTAAGTGATCATCAATAGCAGCAGCATCGGCTTCATTAACTCCATAGCCACGATCATCGTCGACTGCGTTAACTTTATTTGTTTGACCCACAGATGTCAACCAGTCATCATCGACCGGGATCAGTCCACTGCTGGATGGAGGCCTCCCCAAGCCGTCGCCGTCACTCACGATCCTGCGATGTAAATAGTCCACCGAGCACGCTGCCGCACGCGAGCCGATTCCATCGCTCCGTCTCCCATTGTGTTCTCCTTCCTGCCTCTCGGATTTTCATTCCCAGCGTGCATCTCTCGGCCTTTCTCTTTGAGTCCCACAGTTGTTTTGGTTGTTCGCAACCGCCTCTCTCGACCACCTTCCTCGCAGGCAGAAGGCGCCTAGAGGCAGAGCAAGTTGGTGTTCAGTGCTCACTTTTAGTGACGCTCAAAGCGACTGTGAGCGCAGCGTCGTCACGTGGTCCCGAGGCCCAGTTTGTGCTTCCCCTCTGCTGTGACACAAACCTCCGTGTGGGTCGCTCTCACAAGAAGTCGAATTCTCAAGCAGTTGAACACGTGGCAGTAGTCGTAGTTGGGGGCTTTCGCGAACAATATTATCCATAATAGAGGGGGTTTTGGTTTGATAGCGTAGATATATAAGTGTGTCGTTAAAGCCGCCACCACCCGACACAGTCAATTACTAAGTTTTGTTTATGGAAACAAATGTGTTAGAGAGTAAACCCATATCGGCATTTACAATCGTAGTGTAGTGTAGTGTGTAATATATAGTAGTGTATAGTGTCGTGTATAGTGTAGACTGTAGTGTAAAGTAGCATATAGTGTAGTGTACAAGTACAGCCATACCGGTTGTGTGTTCGAGAGTGACCCCACTACGACATTTACAATTCGAGTAGCCGTGACGTTTCGCCGGTAATTATGGCGCATTTATATTTACTCGATATAACCCAAAACAACCTCGATTAAGGATAATTCTCAAACACTCTCAACATTCTCCACTTCCTGGGAAGCATGCTCGGGTTAGCGCTTCCGAGGCATAACGGGGAGGTCTCACGGGACGAAAAGGAACACCCCACAGTAGCGCACGAGGGAGAGACCTGCAGGTCAATGCACCACTGAGTGACTGCAGCCCCATCAAGCAACCGACAAAGCCAGGATCTATATGTCCCAGGTAGACTTACAGATGTCCCAGGTGAGCTGCCTCGACAAGAGGACGATCCTGAAATAACGAGGACAGTTGGCAACCCCATGCAGGTAGCATCGTTATAGCGGTAGGCCTGGCAGGGCACTATCCTGTAGAGTTACAGATGTGTGGGAGAAAACACTGTCTCGACCTCGCTGTGCGCTGCGTTGCACCACTATCCGAGTAGATAACCTCTGGTGCAATAAACCTTCAGAGCCAGGGTGAACTTCCGATTCCACACGTATTTAATGAATTGAACGAGGTAAAACTGATGAAAAAACACAGCACAAATACAGCATCTGTTAATACTTGGAAATATCAATAGAATGAATGCACTCTATAGCATCATAACATTGTCTTAAATAACATGAAACTCAACAATAGATCATGGATGGACCAGGCACCTACATTAGTACTGAATCGCTATAGAAGACAATAAGCTACTGTGTTAAATAAGGGCACATCGTGTAATCACAATACTGCAGCCTAAATGTACAGCACTACACATAACACTGAACTGTGGATGAGATATTTCGTCATCCTTGCTCTCAAGATCGCAATAAGGTTACATGGGTACAAGTCTGACTCGACTTATTCAATTACAAGTAATATTCACAATAAGGCAAGTGGCAGGCTTCGTTGTTAACTAGGCCTCATATTTATCTTACAATTTAACAGTATTATTAAAGCATTTACAGCATTATAACGGCCATTCTAACATTATAACCGCACTCCTAGTATTATAAGAACATAAACGAACTTACAGACAATGCTTCTTAAAGTCCCACAATGAACAGATGCACCTGTCTTCACTGAGACGCTATTTGTGCCTCCATTTTGTACTCTGCATAATGGCTGACACCCTGCCGCGTGGCTGAGAGAATCTTAAATCGTAACTTCCTGGTCACGTGACCAAACTCAACAGCCATACAGGAATTCCTGTGTACACACACACTACACCTGCCATGAGGCAGAACAAACACTACAATGTCATTCTTCTTCTTCTTGCAGCGGCTCAAGTCAATTCGACCGAGCCCCTTCGACCGAATGCAAACAACAGCCACGCGTCGGAGCAGCCTCAAGCCCAGGAGGATTTCATTCAAAGCACAAAAGCCTTGCGGGTGGTGACATCTTCTGCAGTGAGCGGTGGGTGCAGTGGCAGGGGCTGTGGCGAGTGCCCATCGCCACCACCGCAGGGTCAATTGTCGTGCCACGACTCTGGCGTGGGGATAATAGATCTGCGTGATCATCAAAAATGCTTCCAGTCGCCCAGCCCAGAGCGGCTGTGTCACCGGTTGGTGCCGCCTGTCGATGATTGGCCGAGTGAGCAGGGGCGGGATGGGAATGTTCAATTGTGCAGTGGACACTCTGTGAGCACTCTGTGAACACTGTGAACACTGTTCCACTCCACAGCGTGGCCCTGCTCCCCCTGTGGGGAGTCAGACAGCAGCAGTAGCAGCAGTATCAGGAGCAGCAGCAGTAGTCTCAGTAGCGGCAGTATCAGTAGTATTAGCAGCAGTAGTGTAAAGACTGTGTCAGCAAGTCTGGATGTGAAGACACGGTGTCAGCGAGGCTGGAGGATCTTGGATTGGGAAATTCCCCAGAGGTCCTTGGTTGGGAAAGTCGCCAGTGTCCAAAATAGACAGCTGGGGAAATCCCCCCAGAGAATCCATGAGGATAAAAGCAGGAAAAGAAGGGGAGCTCGAGGCTGTCGAGAGGGACTCGGTCCGTCGCCGCTGTCTGCTGGTCCATGCGATTTCCTCATCAGCGTTATCTCGTGACGACGCGGTCCTAAGCCACGTCACGTGAAATAAAAATAAACTTCTACAGCTCGAGTCCAGAGTCATTACAGTAGTATCAGTAGCAGTAGTAAGAGTAGCAGCAGTAGAAGTAACAGTAGTATCAGTCATAGGAGTAGCAGTAGTATAAGTAACAGCAGCAACAGGAGCAGTAGCAGCAGTAGTAGCAGCGACACTTATGAAGGCTGAGACTGTGGTACCCGAGGTGGGCGGCCAGCATCACGCCCAGCCGCCTTTGTCTCCCCAGTGGCGATGTTCAAACACCGCATTTGAGCCTGATAAGTGATCATCACTAGCAGCAGCATCGGCTTCATAAACTCCATGGCCACGATCATCGTCGACTGTGTTAACTTTATTTGTTTGACCCACAGATGTCAACTGGTCATCATCGACCTGGATCAGTCCACTGCTGGATGGAGGCCTCCCCAAGCCGTCACCGTCACTCACGATCCTGCGATGTAAATAGTCCACCGAGCACGCTGCTGCACGCGAGCCGATTCCATCGCTCCGTCTCCCGTCACGTTCCCCTTCCTGCCTCTCGGATCTTCATTCCCAGCGCGCATCTCTCGGCCTTTCTCTTTGTGTCCCACAGTTGTTTTGGTTGCTCCCGACCGCCTCTCTCGACCGCCTCCTCGCGGGCAGAAGGCGCTTAGGGGCAGAGCGAGTTGGTGTTCAGTGCTCACTTTTAGTGACGCTTAAAGCGACTGTGAGCGCAGAGTCGTCACGTGGTCCTGAGGCCCAGCTTGTGCTTCCCCTCTGCTGTGACACAAATCTCCGTGTGGGTCGCTCTCACAAGAAGTCGAATTCTCAAGCAGTTGAACACGTGGCAGTGGTCGTAGTAGTAGGGGGCTTTCGCGAACAATATTATCCATAATCGAGGGGGTTTTGGTTCGATAGCGCAGATATTATTGCGTCGTTAAAGCCCCCACCACCCGACACAGTCAATTAGTAAGTTTTGTCACGGAAACAAAACATGCCAATTAGTTAAGAGTGCAGCCATGCACTGGTTATGTGTTAGAGAGTAAACCCATATCGGCATTTACAATCGTAGTGTAGTGTATAGTGTAATATATAGTAGTGTATAGTGTCGTGTATAGTGTAGTGTATAGTAGTATATAGTGTAGTGTACAAGTACAGCCACACACCGGTTGTGTGTTGGAGAGTGACCCCACTACGACATTTACAATTCGAGTAGCCGTGACGTTTCGCCGGTAATTACGACGCATTTATATTTACTCGATATAACCCAAAACAAAATCGATTATGGATAATTCTCAAACACGCTCAGCATTCTCCACTTTTTGGGAAGTACGCTCGGGTTAGCGCCTCCAAGGTCCAACGGGGAGTCATCACGGGACGAGGAAGAGGAACACCCCACGGTAGCGCACGAGGGAGAGACCTGCAGGTCAATTCACCGCTCTGAGTGACTGCAGCCCCATCATGTAACTGGCAAAGCCAGGATCTGTGATGTCCCAGGTAGACTTACAGATGTCCCAGGTGAGCTGCCTCGGCAAGAGGACGATCCAGAAACAACGAGGGCAGTTGGCAACCCCATGCAGGTAGCATCATTATAGCGGTAGGCCTGGCAGAGCACTATCCTGTAGAGTTACAGATGTGTGGGAGACACACACTGTCTCGGCCTCGCTGTGCGCTGCGTTGCACCACTATCCGAGAAGATAATCTCTGGTTCAATAAACCTTCAGAGCCAGGGTGAACATCCGACTCCACACGTATTTAATGAATTGAACGAGGTAAACCTGATGAAAAAACACAGCACAAATACAGCATCTGTTAATACTTGGAAATATCAATAGAATGAATGCACTCTACAGCATCATAACATTGTCTTAGATAACATGAAACTCAACAATAGATCCTGGATGGACCAGGCACCTACATGAGTACTGAATCGTTATACAAGACAATAAGCTACTGTGTTAAATAAGGGCACATTATGTAATCACAATACTGCAGCCTAAATGTACAGCACTACACGTAACACTGAACTGTGGATGAGATATTTCGTCATCCTTGCTCTCAAGATCGCAATAAAGTTACATGGGTACAAGTCTGACTCGACTTTTTCAATTACAAGTAACATTCGCAATAAGGCAAGTGGCAGGCTTCGTTGTTAACTAGGCCTCATATTTATCTTAACAATTTAACAGTATTAAAAAGGCATTTACAGCATTATAACGGCCATTCTAACATTTTAACCGCATTCCTAGTATTATAAGAACATAAACGAACTTACAGACAATGCTTCTGAAAGTCCCACAATGAACAGATGCACCTGTCTTCACTGAAACGCTATTTGTGCCTCCATTTTGTACTCTGCGTAATGGCTGACACCCTGCCGCGTGGCTGAGAGAATCTTTAATCGTAACTTCCTGGTTACGTGACCAAACTCAACATCCATACAGGAAATTCCTGTGTACACACACCCGCACACCTGCCATAAGGCAGAACAAACACTGACAATGTCATTATTCTTCTTCTTGCAGCAGCTCAAGTCAATTCGACCGAGCCCCTTCGACCGAATGCAAAGAACAGCCACGCGTCGGAGCAGCCTCAAGCCCAGGAGGATTTCATTCACAGCACAAAAGCCTTGCGGGTGGTGACATCTTCTGCAGTGAGCGGTGGGTGCAGTGGCAGGGGCTGTGGCGAGTGCCCATCACCACCACCGCAGGGTCAATTGTCGTGCCACGACTCTGGCGTGGGGATAAGAGATCTGCGTGGTCACCAAAAATGCTTCCAGTCGCCCAGCCCAGAGCGGCTGTGTCACCGGTTGGTGCCGCCTGTCGATGATTGGCCGAGTGAGCAGGGGCGGGATGGGAATGGTCAATTGTGCAGTGAACACTCTGTGAGCACTCTGTGAACAATCTGTGAGCAGCACCTTTGGCGATGTTCCACTCGACCGCGTGGCCCTGCTCCCCCTGTGGGGAGTCAGACAGCAGCAGTAGCAGCAGTATCAGGAGCAGCAGCAGTAGTCTCAGTAGCAGTAGTATGAGTAGCTGCAGTATCAGCAGCAGTAGCCGCAGTATCAGCAACAGTAGTCTCAGTAGCAGCAGTATCAGTAGCAGCAGTAGCCGCAGAAACAGTAGCAGTAGCCTCAGTAGCAGCAGCAGTAGTATCAGTAGCAGCAGAATCAGTAGCAGTAGTAAGAGTAGCAGTAGTAGCAGTATTATCAGTAGCAGTAGTAGCAGTGGTATAAGTAACAGCAGCAACAGGAGCAGTAGCAGCAGTAGTAGCAGCGACACCTGTGAAGGCTGGGACTGTGGTACCCGAGGTGGGCGGCCAGCACCACGCCCGATCGCCTTTGTCTCCCCAGTGGCGATGTTCAAACACCGCATTTAAGCCTGATAAGTGATCATCACTAGCAGCAGCATCGGCTTCATAAACTACATAGCCACGATCATCGTCGACTGCGTTGACTTTGTTTGTTTGACCCACAGATGTCAACCGGTCATCATCGACCTGGATCAGTCCACTGCTGGATGGAGGCCTCCCCAAGCCGTCGCCGTCACTCACGATCCTGCGATGTAAATAGTCCACCGAGCACGCTGCTGCACACGAGCCGATTCCATCGCTCCGTCTCCCGTCGCGTTCCCCTTTCTTCCTCTCGGATCTTCATTCCCAGCGCGCATCTCTCGGCCTTTCTCTTTGTGTCCCACAGTTGTTTTGGTTGCTCCCGAACGCCTCTCTCGACCGCCTCCTCGCAGGCAGAAGGCGCCTCGGGGCAGAGCGAGTTGGTGTTCAGTGCTCACTTTTAGTGACGCTTAAAGCGACTGTGAGCGCAGAGTCGTCACGTGGTCCTGAGGCCCAGCTTGTGCTTCCCCTCTGCTGTGACACAAATCTCCGTGTGGGTCGCTCTCACAAGAAGTCGAATTCTTGAACAGTTGAACACGTGGCAGTGGTCGTAGTTCGGGGCATTCACGACCAATATTATCCATAATAGAGGGGGTTTTGGTTCGATAGCGCAGATATAATTGCGTCGTTAATGCCGCCACCACCCGACACAGCCAATTAGTAAGTTTTGTCACGTAAACAAAACATGCCAATTAGTTAAGAGTACAGTCACACCCTGGTTATGTGCTAGAGAGTAAACCCACTACGGCATTTACAATCGTAGTATAGTGTATAGTGTCGTATATAGTGTAGTGTATAGTGTCGTGTATTGTGTAGTGTATAGTGTCGTATATAGTAGTGTGTATTGTAGTGTATAGAAGTGTAGTGTATAGTGTAGTGTACAAGTACAGCCACACACCGGTTGTGTGTTGCAGAGTGACCCCACTACGACATTTACAATTCGAGTAGCCGTGACGTATCGCCGGTAATTACGACGCATTTATATTTAGTCGATATAACCCAAAACAACCTCGATTATGGATAATTCTCAAACACTCTCAGCATTCTCCACTTCCTGGAAAGCATGCTCGGGTTAGCGCCTCCGAGGCACAACGGGGAGTCATCACGGCACGAGGAAGAGGAACACCCACGGTAGCGCACGAGGGAGAGACCTGCAGGTCAACGCACCGCTCTGAGTGACTGCAGCCCCATCATGTAACCGACAAAGCCAGGATCTATATGTCCCAGGTAGACTTACAGATGTACCAGTTGAGCTGCCTCGACAAGAGGACGATCCAGAAACAACGAGGGCAGTTGGCAACCCCATGCAGGTAGCATCGTTATAGCGGTAGGCCTGGCAGGGCACTATCCTGTAGAGTTACAGATGTGTGGGAGATAAACACTGACAATGTCATTCTTCTTCTTCTTGTTGCAGCGGCTCAAGTCAATTCGACCGAGTCCCTTCGACCGAACGCAAACAACAGCCACGAGTCGGATGACCCTCACGACCGCGGCGTCGTTGACAGTGCAGCCGCCATGGCGTCCATGATCGCCCTTGGGGCGAGCAGCGGGTGGAGCGCTGGGACCGTGGCCGGGGTGGCCATTGGAGCTATTGCGGTCGTCCTGGGGGTCGTCGGGTGCATAATAAAAATACTCTGTTAAAATGTTGAGCCCAGAGCGGACGCCTCGCTTGATGGGCACCGTCTGTGGGCCATGCGTCAAGTGAGCACGACTGTGATGGGATGGGTGGTGCCAATGTTGACCCTGTTTGACCGCAATGAAGGTCCTTGGGTGGGATCGCGTAAATATAAAGTGTCGTTAGCCCACCTCCATCCGACACAGCCAATTAGTAAGGTTTACGCAATCTAACCCGACAGCCTTTATTGTGACTAATATTGGTCGTGAACGGGCAGTCAAACAGCAACAACAATAACAGCATCAACATTTGCAGCAACATCAGCAACAACAGCAGCCGATGCACCACCACCTACTCTAAGCGTCGATCCTCCGACCCTCCGTTGTTGTTGGAGGGCGACTGCCTCCAACTGCCCAGTAGCAGCGTCATTCACGAGCCTCCTCCACAGAGGCCGATCCTGACACCGCTGGTACCGGTCATCGGCAAGTCCACTCAGCTCCACATCCTCCTGTCACCAATCACTCCATCTATTCTCTAGCCCGTGTCACTCACCCATCACTTCTCTAGCCCGTGTCACTCACCCACTCACCCATCACTCCATCTCTTCTCTAGCCCGTGTCACTCACCCACTCACCCATCACTCAATCTCTTCTCTAGCTCGTGTCACTCACCCATTCACCCATCACTCCATCTCTTCTCTAGCCCGTGTCACTCAACCACTCACCCATCACTCCATCTCTTCTCTAGCCTGTGTCACTCACCCATCACTCCATCTCTTCTCTAGCCCGTGTCACTCCCCCACTCACCCATCACTCCATCTCTTCTCTAGCCCGTGTCACTCACCCATCACTCCATCTCTTCTCTAGCCCGTGTCACTCCCCCACTCACCCATCACTCCATCTCTTTTCTAGCCCGTGTCACGCACCAACTCACCTATCACTTCTCTAGCCCGTGTCACTCACCCACTCACCCATCACTCCATCTCTTCTCTAGCCCGCGTCACTCACCCATCACTCCATCTCTTCTCTAGTCCGTGTCACTCACCCACTCACCCATCACGCCATCTCTTCTCTAGTCCGTGTCACTCACCCACTCACCCATCACTCCATCACTTCTCTAGCCCGTGTCACTCACCCATCACTCCATCACTCCATCTCTTCTCTAGCCCGTGTCACTCACCCACTCACCCATCACTCCATCACTTCTCTAGCCCGTGTCACTCACCCATCACTCCATCACTCCATCTCTTCTCTAGCCCGTGTCACTCACCCACTCACCCATCACTCCATCACTTCTCTAGCCCGTGTCACTCACCCACTCACCCATCACTCCATCTCTTCTCTAGCCCGTGTCACTCACCCACTCACCCATCACTCCATCACTTCTCTAGCCCGTGTCACTCACCCATCACTCCATCACTCCATCTCTTCTCTAGCCCGTGTCACTCACCCACTCACCCATCACTCCATCACTTCTCTAGCCCGTGTCACTCACCCACTCACCCATCACTCCATCTCTTCTCTAGCCCGTGTCACTCACCCACTCACCCATCACTCCATCACTTCTCTAGCCCGTGTCACTCACCCATCACTCCATCACTCCATCTCTTCTCTAGCCCGTGTCACTCACCCACTCACCCATCACTCCATCTCTTCTCTAGCCCGCGTCACTCACCCATCACTCCATCTCTTCTCTAGTCCGTGTCACTCACCCACTCACCCATCACTCCATCTCTTCTCTAGTCCGTGTCACTCACCCACTCACCCATCACTCCATCACTTCTCTAGCCCGTGTCACTCACCCATCACTCCATCTCTTCTCTAGCCCGTGTCACTCCCCCACTCACCCATCCATCTCTTCTCTAGCCCGTGTCACTCACCCATCACTCCATCACTCCATCTCTTCTCTAGCCCGTGTCACTCCCCCACTCACCCATCACTCCATCTCTTCTCTAGCCCGTGTCACTCACCCACTCACCCATCACTCCATCTCTTTTCTAGCCCGTGTCACTCCCCCACTCACCCATCACTCCATCTCTTCTCTAGCCCGTGTCACTCCCCCACTCACCCATCACTCCATTTCTTCTCTAGCCCGTGTCACTCACTCACTCACCCATCACTCCATCTCTTCTCTAGTCCGTGCCACTCCCCCACTCACCCATCACTCCATCTCTTCTCTAGCCCGTGTCACTCACCCATCACTCCATCTCTTCTCTAGCCCGTGTCACTCCCCCACTCACCCATCCATCTCTTCTCTAGCCCGTGTCACTCACCCATCACTCCATCACTCCATCTCTTCTCTAGCCCGTGTCACTCCCCCACTCACCCATCACTCCATCTCTTCTCTAGCCCGTGTCACTCACCCACTCACCCATCACTCCATCTCTTTTCTAGCCCGTGTCACTCCCCCACTCACCCATCACTCCATCTCTTCTCTAGCCCGTGTCACTCCCCCACTCACCCATCACTCCATCTCTTCTCTAGCCCGTGTCACTCCCCCACTCACCCATCACTCCATCTCTTCTCTAGCCCGTGTCACTCCCCCACTCACCCATCACTCCATCTCTTCTCTAGCCCGTGTCACTCCCCCACTCACCCATCACTCCATTTCTTCTCTAGCCCGTGTCACTCACTCACTCACCCATCACTCCATCTCTTCTCTAGTCCGTGCCGCGCCCATGTAGCCCCCACCTCTATCCAGCTGAACAAAAGCTGTAGCCGGGCATGCTGTAGCCGGGCATGCTGTAGCCGGGCAAGCTGTAGCCGGGCAAGCTGTAGCCGGGCAAGCTGTAGCCGGGCATGCTGTAGCCGGGCATGCTGTAGCCGGGCAAGCTGTAGCCGGGCAAGCTGTAGCCGGGCAAGCTGTAGCCGGGCATGCTGTAGCCGGGCATGCTGTAGCCGGGCATGCTGTAGCCGGGCATGCTGTAGCCGGGCATGCTGTAGCCGGGCATGCTGTAGCCGGGCATGCTGTAGCCGGGCATGCTGTAGCCGGGCATGCTGTAGCCGGGCATGCTGTAGCCGGGCATGCTGTAGCCGGGCATGCGGGCTACACGACCCAGCCTGCCTGGGCTGGGTAATGACTGCTCACACACAGACACACAGACACACACACGCACAGACACACACACACACAGACACGCACAGACACGCACAGACGCGCAGGCACACACACACGCCCAGACACACAGACGCGCACAGACACACAGACACGCACAGACACATACACGCACAGACACACAGACGCGCACAGACGCGCACAGACACACAGACACGCGCAGGCACACACACACGCGCAGACACACACACACGCACAGACACACAGACGCGCACAGACACACAGACACACACAGACACACACGCACAGACACACAGACGCGCACAGACACACAGACACGCGCAGGCAGACACACAGACGCGCACAGACACACACAGACACACACGCACAGACACACAGACGCGCACAGACACTACAGACACACACACGCACAGACACACAGACACACACAGACACACACGCACAGACACATACACGCCCGCCCAGACTGACCGACTTGGTTGTAATGGGCATCGCGTCACGTGACGGTAGCCGGGCAGGGAGCGATCGGCGTCGCTACTTTCCTCTCCGCGGACCCGGCTGCTTGGTAGACACGTCAAGGTTACAAGGTCAGAGGTCACAAGGTTAGAGGTTACAAGTTTAGAGGTTACAGGGATAGAAGTTACAAGGTCAGAGGTTACAAGTTTAGAGGTTACAGGGATAGAGGTTACAAGGTCAGAGGTTATCGTTGTAGTTCAGTGGATTTCTTCATCACACGTCTTAAGATGGTGTGCGAGGTGGAGCAAGTGGAGTACTGCATGCGATGTCTTGGTGGTAAAAATACAATTCTGTCTTCACGCGACGGTCGGATAGGAATTGAGCGGCACCGCCCATTGACGGATTCTCCTCGTAGCAAAAGTAGCTGCACATGTAGCTGCTACATATATGTAGTAGCTACATGTATAGCTACTACATATATGTAGCAGCTACATATATGTAGCTGCTACATATATGTAGTAGCTGCACATGTATAGCTACTACATGTATGTAGTAGCTATATATATGCATACATATGTAGTAGCTTACGGACCATGCGCTAAATCCTTTCAAGCTATCAATTCCGGTTCAGTGATTCTGCACTTGCTCTATTACTATAGTAATATACCGCCTTCGACTTTTATGAACGACTGGGTGTTTAAGGTTCGCGATTTGTCGTAGTATCTGGCTGTGTAGCAAATGTTATAATAAAGTTACTTTACTATGCAAGTAAAAAATGCGTTTTAATGTTATCTTGACTTAAAGCTTTCTGATAATTGTTTTTTTTTACCCTTTTATCTGGCAACAAAACTGACACCTTTTTTTACGAGGAGTCATGTTTGCATAGACCACAATACCTGCAGCCATAATGTAAACAACAAACACAACTCTGATCATACTCTATGGGGACCTCATTTGCCAGTAAAAATATGATAATTGGTTCTTTACCCTTCTATCTGGCAACAAAACTGACACCTTTTTGCAAGGAGTCATGTTTGCATAGACCGCAATACCTGCAGTCATAATACAAACAAAAGAACATAACTCTGATAATGTGCACTGTCCCTGAAGTTGATTGGTCCACGCCCGAGACAGCTTTCCTTCGAGCCTAGTCTCATATGGGTTGGACCAGATGACGCCAAAAGGCGCACAACTCAAGGACAATGCACCATCAGAGTATGAGGTGTCAGTTTTGTTGCCAGATAGAAGGGTAAAGAACCAATTATCATATTTTTACTGGCAAATGAGGTCCCCATAGTGTAGATGCTTGCCCCGAGCTCTCATACTCTGATGGTGCATTGTCCTTGAGTTGTGCGCCTTTTGGCGTCATCTGGTCCAACCCATATGAGACTAGGCTCGAAGGAA